AATAATGAGATATTTATATTAGATGACCAAGATAGAATTAAAAATATTATTACTATACCTGATGGGTATTACAGCATAAGCTCACTCAATGATTATTTTAAGGATGATGATGAATTTGATAATACTGGTAAAATTAGTATCACACAAAATGAGGCGACTGGGAAAGTGAAAGTCATCAATGGATACGGAAAAATAATTATTAGTGATAACTTAGGATACACAATTGGATTGGGAAAGGGAGTAACATTATCACGCGGCTCATCAGTGGCTGGAAATTATGAATTACCCTATTTAGTTCCCTATAAAGAGTTGTTCATTCATCTTGATCAAATCAGCACGACGGATAATATTCAACAAGAAAGTCCTTCAACTCTTCTCAGAAGTGTTCCAGTGAAAAATGAAAAATATAATAGCGGTAGAACAGAATCTTTCTCGTTATTACAATATAAAAAATTGCAGCGGGGTATTATTTCAGACCTTAAAATTTCTGTATTAGATGTAAAACACCAACCAGTACATATAGGATACTTAAGTGTAACACTCCATATTATATAATGGTTGATTCCATATTTAAGTTATGATATAGTATCATTGTATATTTAATATGTATGTTACACTCCCGGGAATAACAAATGGCCAGTCTATTGAACTGCTTCATACTATCGATAACTCGGATGGACAACTCGAAGTCGCTCTATGCGACGTAACATATTACCCACTGTGGACCAATATAAGTGCTGCGAGAGGTAATAATAAGATATGGATATTAGATGAACAAAATATTATTGAAAAATTCATTATTATACCTGATGGGTATTACAGCGTATGCTCACTCAATGATGAAATTTTTAAGTCTAATAGAATTAGTCTAACACAAAATGAGTCCAATGGAATGTTGAAATTTGACACTGGAGAAAAAGGTGTACGGATTGTAGGGAACTTATCAGCTACACTTGGATTTACACGCGGAATTTTATCAATATTCAAGGCAACATTTGATGGAGAGACATTGTCCGATTTAGTTCCCTATAAAGAGTTGTGTATCCATCTTGATCAAATCAGTACGACAAATAATATTCAACTAGAAAGTCCTTCAACTTTGCTCAGAAGTGTTCCAGTGAAAAATGAAAAATATAATAGCGGTAGAACGGAATCTTTCTCGTCATTACAATATAAAAAATTGAAGCGTGGTATTATTTCAGACCTCAAAATTTCTATATTAGATGTAAAACATCAACCTGTACATATAGGATACTTAAGTGTAACACTCCATATTAAAAATAATGGTTGATGCATCAGGCCCTGGAACAGTAAGACAATGTAATACAATTGCGCTTTCCGATCTCGGAGACACAGAAGGATTTGATAAACCCGGTTACAATGGTAAGTTATACGCTTTACACTTACACGATAATGTATACAAGCGGAAAGAAGTCACATTCACGGGTAATCTAGGAGATTTAAGCGATGTCGATGTTAGTAGACTCCTTAAAAACACTTCGTACAATATTACTCGCAACGATGATAATAAATGGACTATGGTCGAAGCAAACATCGAGTGGCTACTGAATATCGTCATTATCCCACCTTATGTGATGATGGGTAAGGGACATAATTTAACTAAGATAATAAATAGTGGCATCGTACTCGCGGCTTATATCCCATCAAAACGAAAAAGTGTGTTGGTTACTCCCCTGCCAGAAAACCCAGGTCATATGTTATATAGTCGTCCGTCCTTAAAAAACATTAGTTTAAATTTGGTTACTGAATTCGAAGATATTAAAGTTAACCTGAGTGCAATACCTAATATTTCTACGCTTATTATTGAAGTCTTGTTCGGAGATGTACCGGTAGATGCCTTCGAAATATTACCAGGTCTATCGATTAAATGGTTCAAGAATCACGAGCGTCAACGTTGCAGTATTATTCATATCGGAGCATCGCCCGTTGCAACCCTCGAGGGGGTCCAAATTATTAAAAGTGGTAGTATTTCTCTTTCTAAGATATTCTTGCCGTATAATATACATTTAATAAGGTTGATGTATAGTCTCAAAACATTTAAGCAAGACCAATTAAAGACTATTATATGATCGTTATATACACTATGAGTTTATATCCGGCGCTCGATGAAGCATTTGAAAAGATGGAAATTGTTGATGGATTTCGATTACATCAAATAAGCGACATAAAACATCGAATAGAGAAGGATAGGGAGTTGAGACTTGGATTGTATAAAAGGTATCGCAGAGCCGTGAATGCTCTGGACGGAGTTCACACCGCTCTTATAGTATCTGGCATGGGACTCGGTGTAGCGGGTATCGGTTTACTATCAACTATAATCGCCGCGCCTATCGTGCTCGGCATGGAAATAACCGCTGGAGTATCGGGACTGGCAGGAATAGCGATAAAATTCATTTCTCGTAGGTTACAAAAGAAAGCATTAAAACACGATAGTATTCGGATACTCGCCGAAGCAAAGTTGAACAGCATTGAGGATCATATTTCGACAGCAATGGCCGATAGTAAGATATCCGAAGATGAGTTTCGTTTAGTGCTGTCGGAGCTTAACAAATACAACGAAATGAAGCAGGAGATTCGATCAAAATCTCGTAAGACCAGTGGTATTAGCGAAGACGAGAAAAAAAAGTTCATAGAAGAGGGGGGGCAACAAGCTCGTCAATTATTCCGTGCCAAAACCAAAGAACTGGTTGGAGATTAAAAATAGATTGCTTACTATCGTGTGATTACATTTAGACAAATGCTAACATAAATATATAATAATGGAGAAAGCTATTCAATGGAAAGAATTACCACAAGGTTTTTATTATATCAGTGATGCCAAACCAACCAAATACGGTTATCAATTGTTTCTTATCAATTTACAAAAAGAGTGTAGTTATATAGTCTGGTCTCCTAGTAAAATGAACGAAGAACTTAATAAAAATGTTGAATATCGCTTTATCGATAAAAATAATGAAGAATATTTTTATTACCATTTAGGCTCATCTAAAGCAATGATTGGCCCCAGGTATTGGTGAGCTAGAGCCAATCTCATGACTATCGTTAAATCGCATCATCATTTTGGCATAAAAAATTCCTCCTGTAGTAGCAGTATAGGTATACGAATCCTGCTCCAGTGGAAGTGGTCCAGAACCCCTATTACCTATACTACTGCATGTATCTGCAGTTCAGTTGACTCGGCAACTTGGCCGTGCTGTAAGACAGAGGACTTATGACAGCACTATATCTGCATGACCAGGAACAATGGTGAGAACAATAGGGCTTTGTCTCACCCTTTGTTCTCACAATTGTGACATATCTCCACAGAGTACTGTCACTTGTCTACTATGCATTTTCCTAGGTACCTTAGTAATGTGTCATATTCTTTGTTCACTGGGGGCACAGGTGGCCCAGTGGTCTAAGATGCAGCAAATCGCTGTGCAGAGTTGCGTCCCTTGGGCATGCCAGAAACCTCTGTGGGTTCGAATCCCGGTTTCACCTGATTATGTTTCTAGGTTTGTCAGCACCATATCTGTGCTCGTGGGTTTCCTCCCACATTAAGCTGACACACTGTCATTTAACTGGAATAATGTTCAAAAAGGCAATAAACCCAACTCACTCACTCACTCACTCACTCACTCACTCACTCACTCTTTGTTCATATCATCATAATTGTTTTTACAGTGTTTGCATCATTTCATAAACTTATATGATTTTTTAATTTGAAGTTTACACGACATACAGCTTTTCCATTGGACAACTGGTTGGTCACAAGACCGCAAAATTGACGTTCATATCCTTGAAATGATGTAAACACTGACAGACTACTCCCACAATTCTGGGAATTCCCTTGCACGAATACATACAGAAGCTTTGTTTCTGATCATTTAGAATCTTTAATCTTGAACTAAGCATTTTAGTATATACATTAAGAAACATCAGAGAGTTTGACTGCATGATCATTCACGAATATCCTTGCTATGACCCATCCTAGTCACAAGAAATGCACATCCAAACTATCGTAAGATCGACTTGATCCCTGCCTAGGCTGACAGGGACAGTCTACAGCAATCTATGAATTTACCCTAGTATGTATTTGACACATCTTTACAATCACCTTTCAATGATCAGCCAGTTGATCTTTGATGACCAACACATGTGACTACCACAGGTTCATCAAAAACTTCAGAAATCTCTCCCATGACGTTTATCGTGTCGGCCATTTTGATATCTTGTACTTGATGTAAATGTATTACAATGCAACATTGTCATTGTTACTGACTTACTGAGGTAGTTCTAAACTTACTTTCCTCATCTAATGATGGTATTATTGGAATACACATGTTGTGATACAGATGTTCCTGAAGAGCAAGTTGTGCATACATACACTCATGTCACCTCTCTTTATGAAGGGGGCGGTCGGGTAGCCTAGTGGTTAAAGCGTTCGCTCGTTATGCCAAAGACCCGGGTTCGATTCCGGACAAGGGTACAATGTGTGAAGCCCATTTCTGGTGTCCCCCGCCGTGATATTGCTAGAATATTGCTAAAAGCGGCGTAAAACCATAGTCAGTCAGTCAGTCAGTCTCTTTATGAAGAACTATTTTATTCCGCGATACAGCTGGTTGTTGTATGGCTGTCAGTGTAAACATGAACTCACACATGCTAAAAACAATTGTATAAAGATCTGGGCCTACATTCTTTGAGGTAAAAAATATCCTTACAGTTTTGGCCCTCACTCTATGAAGGTTGATTCTCCAATGAACTCACACAAAGTGAAAGTCATTTCTTTTATAACTATATGTTTGACTTCAGCCTGCTGAAGCATCTCATATCTTTCGAAATTCTGATTTTGCTGTCACACCTAGAATTGTCACATTTCTTACAAAATATAGCTTTGACATATGTCTGTCTAAAGTATCTCACTTCTCACAGAGTATCAGTTTAATGTTGGCTGTCAAAGTATTTCACAGTTTGCAACTATATCAACATTACACATGTCTCGCTGAAGGCTCATTCGTATCTTGTAGTATCTCACTTTTTACAAAATATCAGTTTGACGTAGGCCTGTCTGAAATCTCTGTTGAGAACACCGTACAGCATCCATGTGATTGTGGAGAAGGAGAGCGCCAACGTGAAGAACGTCAGCCAGACATCGGGAGACACAGGGATGGCCACATGAAGGATATGCACCATGCACATCGGCAGATACAACACACAGAACAGCGTGAACACCAGGAACAGGTGCAGCGTTAGTCTCACTTCCTGTTGAAACTTGGCGGCAGCGAGTCGACTCTTCGGTGGCTTGGAAACGACGGTTATGACAACCTGGGCTTGCCCTGTGAGATTAGCCCCGACAGTCCGGCTCGCCTCGGTCGTTGAGATTTGAAGTTGATTCACTCTTTGTTGCTCCCCTTTTCTCGAATCTGTTCGTTTGTACTGTTTCTTTTTTTTTGACATTGTCTCTGCTATACTGTGGGTGACATCAGCAATGGTGGTGGATGTCGTACAACAAACGCCAGTACTTGTAGAGGGCTGTGGGAAGTTGATTAGTTCAGAGGGAATGTCGCTGCAGCTTGACGTGTGCTCTTCACCAGTTTTGGCCATGGTGGCCATGACCTTGAGACGACTCTGTCGTACTTTCCGTAAAATCAACGAATAAGATACAAAAATGAAGACCGTTGTTAGTATGGCAGGAGCACTAATCGCTATGACGACGTACCAGTAGGCGTTGTCAGATGCCAGAAAGAAGCAATCAAGAATGAATTCATGGTATCCGACATACGGCAAACTGCTGAATGAGATCATAACCGGAATTGTCCACAATAAGGCAATAATTATAACAACATTGCGAGTTCGTTCTGGTTGGGGAGAGGAAACTTGTTGACGATTTACCACAAGGTATCGATTCAGAGCAATTGCATCCGAGTTAACAAGCATTGCTAGAGTCAGCATAAAGTTCATATATCCTTCAAATTCGCACAACGTGGTATTTGAGTTGACTTTTCCAACGTTGACTATGTTGAATATATGGAAGGGGATGATGACGAGGCAGACAAGGAGTCCCACCACGCTGAGGTTGGCGATGAGCAGATACGTGAGTCTCTGAAGTTTACTTGTCTTGACCACGCTGAGGATGACCAGCATATTACCCACAGTTCCCAGCACGGCCATGAGGGCCAGGTATGTGATGGTGACTATTCGGGCTGTGGGTGTGTGGAGGCTCTCGATGTCGGGGTTGTCGGGATTAGGGAGAACAAGGTCGGAGTCATTGGATGTGTTTGTGGCAGACATATCTCACGCGGCTCTCATCCTCTGGAGTAGAAAATACAATGTCAGAATGTTGAAGAGATAAAGATGATATGCTGTTATATACTCACCACCAAAAGAAATGCAAACCATAGAAACATATAGAAATGTATGTACGTTAAGAGATGTTTCCAATGTGTACCACAAATAATGACAAAACTAACAGTCAAGCGTTACCACGGTGTCTGTATTCTTTTATCACAATATGCTGCACCTGATTTCCAAACTTTAAACGCTAATCCTGCACGAGACAAATGGTGCATCTCGAGTCATGGATCTATGACGTCACATGTGATGCGTTCATAAGCATTGGTTCACACTAAATACCAGTATGTTCGTTTGTGCATCGAACCAATCTCTTGAAAATGAGTAATTCTTCATATATAAACCAACATGTGTGGTATTTGCATTTCTTTTGACAGTGAGTATATATCGTTGGTAGACATTATGATTGAGATATTGGGTATTTTGGTTCTTACTTAGTAAAACAAATTGTCTATTAGTTATTTGGTTTGTTATAATATTATTTGGCGTGTTTATGTGAATATAGGGTAGGTGGGTGAGCCTAGTGGTTAAAGCATCTGCTCGTCACGCCAAAGACCCAGGTTTGATTCCCCATATGGGTACAATGTGTGAAGCTCATTTCTGGTGTTCCCTGCCGTGATATAGCTGGAATATTGCTAAAAGTGGCATACTCACTCACGCACTCACGCACTCACGCACTCACTCACTCACTCACTCACTCACTCACTCACTAAAATAGACTACTCAAAAGAAGTTGAAGAACCCCCAATTCTTTCATATTACAGAGTTAATCAAATGACAGATTAACTGTAGAAACTGAAATCTAGGGTTCTTTAACTCCTCTGGAGAAGTATATTTGTTCGCTCCACACTCTGTTACACTGCTATATTCTGTTACACTGATATAACTGCTATATTCCATGTATACTCACAGCATATAAGTTATAACTCCACCTCTCTGTTTCACCCACATGTAATCACTATCAGGACTTTCAGCCATATATACTACTGTAAATATTACATGACAATGGTTTACTTTGGATATCAGGAGCTATGTGAGGTATTTCATTATCTTTATTCTTGGGATGAATATGGGTTACCCAGTTATAATAATTGTTCAATACATGTACAAATGGGGTGGTCGGGTAACCTAGTGGTTAAAGTGTTCGCTCGTCACGCCAAAGACCTGGGTTCGATTCCCGACATGGGTACAATGTGTGAAGCCCATTTCTGGTGTCCCCCCCCCCCCCCCCCATGATATTGCTGGAATATTCCTAAAAGCGGCGTAAAACAATACTCACTTATACCTACTTATACATGTATAAATTTAATTCCAAGGAACACTACTTTTAGAAAAAATCAGCTGACATGGCATTATATTTTTTATCCTGTTTCTGTTTATTATCCTACTAAGAAACATTATCTACATCTTTCATTGGATTGTTATTGTTATCATTGAACGCCTCATTGTTTTAAAATGTGTTGAATACAAACTTTGATCAGTTTTCATGTGATAAATGTATATGTATTCTGTATCATTGAAAGTCTAGATGTGTATTTCGATTCAGTGGGGTGTGTGCATGCTTAACATCTTTATATAAAACCCTTCAGGATTAGTTGATATAACAGGACTCCGCAATCCCACAGAATATTCTCTCTTGTCGGTAAATTTACATTCATTTGTAGAACAATCTCACTTGCTGGTGTCTACAAATATATGAATAACTTGCAAATGATTCTATTGCATTTGATTGGCTAACCATGAATAATATTTGGGTATATTTTCCATGAACCTAAAAATGGTAGCCCCGAAAATATTCTAAGAAATTTCAAAAGTTACCCTTAACTTCTTAAATCTAAGAATTTTCTTCAGGCAAAAATCCTAAAAACTTTTAGTGCTAATAGTTGTTGAGAGTGATCAAGAGGACTTTTAGTGAAATTTTGATTTTGAGTATCCAATATGGTGGCCGCTGGAATGATGTGTTCAGTGTGTATTTAGACATTGTATTTATCCTGCGAGTTTAGAATATTCTTAAAAACATTCTGAGAATGTTTATGAATATGGCTCCTGAATTCACTCTTTGTTGACTTGTATTTTCTTGTGATGAAAAATAGACAGGTGTGTGATGAAGCTACAATAGTAGTTGAAGATCATCAGTTTACCTGTAATTAACATGATAACATGCACACCTGTGTTTCCCACTTGAGAATTCTTAAGAAATTTGAAACATATAATATTGGTGTCCAGAAAGATCTATATATGTATTGTGAAGATGATGACGAAAATAAAAACCTTGACGTTTTATCATGATGCTCCAGATTATTTTAAAGAGATAACATTAAAAAAAAAGAAGTTTATTTTATTTTGATCACTGACCCTCTGTATTTTTTTAAAGAAAACTATAATGTGGGAAATATTAATATGATTTGTCAGAGTAACTATGGTAACTGAATTATTGTGATACTTTTGTGACCTATGAAACACTTCCACAAACATTTAGCTTGAAGGTATTTTTTATATTAAAAAAGCATGCAGAGATTGGAAATTGTCAATGTCTTGAATACTTTCGACTAATCAGAGTATGTCATCATATCACACAAGATTTCATTAAGTAGTCATAATATCATCTATATGTTTACCACCTATGTAAAATGAGTGAGTGAATGATTAATATGACATCTCACAGTCAGCAATACTCAAACTTCATCTTGGGACCCGTGGAGATCCGGGTTTGAATAGGTCTTCAGCAACCCATGCTTGCCGTAAAAGGCGACTATGCTTGTCGTAAGAGGCGACTAACAGGATTGGGTGGTCAGACTCGCTGACTTGGTTGATGGATATCATCGTATCCCAATTACGTGGATCGATGCTCATGATGTCAATCACTGGATTGTCTGGTCCAGACTTCATTATTTACAAACCGCCGTCACATAGCTGAAATATTGCTGAGTGCGGCGTTAAACAAGTTTAACAACAAGCAAACAAGCAACATAACTGCTAAGGTAACCAAATAAACCTGAGCCAGACAAACCAATGGTTGATAGCGTGTGCTATGTTCGCCCTCATCGGGGCCCCGTTTCACAAAGTGGCAGTAGTGTTACGACTATTTCATTGAGTACACTTTACCATTGACTTACGATACTCGTAGCACTACAACAGCTTTGTGAAAGGAGCACAGGGTACGATGACACACAATCGGCCATGTAACGGAGTCTGGTTCCCTAAGCATGGGAAGGGGATCAAGTCAGACCTGAAGGCCCCAGGGTGATGTAGGCTGGAGAAGTTATCATATGTAAGGCCCGTCATTTGAAGTAGTTATATTTCTACCAGATTTTTAAATTGCTAACTTCTCATCACGATATGGCTGAAATACAGCTGATGTGACGTTAAGTTTCAACTCACTCACTCACTCACTCACTCACTCACTCACTCACTCACTCACAGGTAACATTCAGTGCTATCGGCTTCCACTCACCTCATTAATTGTGGATAAGATGATTATGACGTCCTGTCAGCGGGAGTCAGCTTCTTGCATGTCAGGGGACATTGTGTGCTGGCATGTCTCGGATCAATACCATAGGAAGTGTCCAGAACAAGCACCTGTTTTCTCCATATCATTTCTGTCTCTAGTGCTGTGGGTCTCTTTCTGCCAACTACTATAAGTTGCTTTAACTTCATATCTCCATTTTGCAACAATTTTGTAACTTTTGCCTTTCAATATCATAATTGTTTTATTTTCCTCAAAACCATGACCATTAGAATTATCATTTTTGTTAGCGTTTGATATTCTTATTCATGCAAGAATCATCCTTGAAACAGGAAAAATTGATATCAGAGTTGATGAGGTATGACTTCTAGGATCCATATGTCCTTGCTGCTAATTGAATCTACCAAAAGCACACATGTTCCGTGAAATTAATTGATGATTCATCAAACTTCATTCATTTGTTTCGTTTCCTCCATCACTCTGTGGCACAATGATCACGCCAAGAAATCCCCTTTTTTTCACCATATCCATCGTTATAAGACAGATTAGTCTAAAATCCCTTACCAGAAATATGACCATAGACGTCAGAAATTCAACATTTGCAGCCAACCAAGATATACTTTCATGCTGTATCAATAAAGGAACGTAAATGTTCCGAAAAGGGTAACCATGGTAACCAGTCCTGTTGAGGTGTTACCAGTCTCAGTACATTTCTGACACTATGTGAGAAATATCCACAACTTCAACAGACACGCTTCATGACAGATATGCCATGTGATGAAACAAGATCACAGATTCACAAGTTCCACAGAGATGGGCTGGTCTTGTTACTATGGCCCTGGTACCGTTCATGATATACTTCTGAAGAATCTGGCCATTCTCTTCTCACTTTTGACCTATTGTTGCTGTGTATGATGGTTAGCGTGCCCTATCATCTTCCAGCTCTTGTCATCCCTAAGAGGATAACGAGATAAGAGGGTTACACCTGGCTCAACTTTCAGATGTAATACCTCACTCCAGGTAAAATGCGCACGCATCGCTTTCAGGGAAAACAAAGTTGCCATTTGTCATGGAAACTTAATGTTGTGTTTTTGTGGAAATTCTGTTCAAGACCGATTTATTTGAACTGAATGAAATTCATCTCAAAGAGACATTTCTTACAGAAATACCATTTTTTATCTTTTTGCAAGTTCTGAAATACTGCCACAAAAGTAATTTACATGAATTTTTGCAAACAAAAATAAATATAGAGGGAGAGAGCACAAGTCTATTGGCACTTTTTTGTTTACCTGGATGACATTAATTACTAGTTAATAATACCTGTACAGGTAGATCTGTTTCCAGGGGAAACCAGATGGCACATAACTGGCTGGCCGACAAGCTGGATAACTAACTATACATCCTGCACATAGTATTGCGAATCAGATGGAACTTAATTATCAATTAGAATCTACTTACTCCAACAATTTAATTGGTCATTTTGATCAGTTATTGACATTTGATTGATTTTCCCTATATGTACCGTATTTACCGCAATAAATACTCCCAAGATGTTAGAAAATTGGGACGGCGTGGGGGTGAGCACTTATTAAAACTATACACGAGTTAAATGGTTGTAGTGAACATTCTAAGATAAGACTTAAACGTTTTTGATAATAGTTACAAGAGAATTATGTTGCCTGTGTATTTTCTGTGCAAATCTGTAATATGCAAATGTAGGGGTAGTTTATAAAGATTAGCCAATATTAACTGAAGCGGTCTGTCACAATATGTCAAATATTATCCAACCACCTGTACTATTGGCCCCATGGCCAGACTATACGAAATAAATTCTGTTCTGTTCTGTTTATAATATATTGGTCTAAAAGTTCAGGGGCACTTATTTGAGCTTGGCGCTTAATACGGTGAATATGGTTTGCCATATAAAAATATGGCACAATGCCTGTTTTCATCACAATTTAATATCAAACAAATCATCATTCTCAGAATATACTGTCAGGTTGTTGATTAAGGCTTATGAGGTTAATTTGGTTGTCAATTTTAATAAGCCCATAGCAGTGCCTGCTGGTGCCACTTCTCCATCACCCTGGACTTCTTCCCCAATCAAGATCCGGGTTAGAATTGGTCTTCAGCAACCCATGCTGAGGGTAAGAGGCGACTAACGGGATTGGGTGGTCAGGCTCACTGACTTGGTTGATGCATGTCATCGTATCCCAATTGCGTGGATTGATGCTCATGATGTCAATCACTGGATTGTCTGGGATTTACAGATCACCATCATACAGCTGGAATATTACAAACATTTTGGGCGTCTCTGCCAGTTTAAGCTGTAGTATAACTGAAATACTAAAATACTGAATAAAATGGTGTTAAACCCAACTCACTCACTCTTGAGTTGATTTCCATTAAAGGTAGTATATGCTTTGGAAAGAAACAGTAATGGTCAAACTTTATCTTGATCCATTTCACGTGAAGTTTTGTAGCTGTACTTTGTATCATATTTATTCCATTAAAAACCCCACTGTGGCTTGAAATGTAGTACATTGTTTTTCAGTGATTCTGGTATAGTGAGGTTTGTAGTTTTAAGCAAAACTACAATGACTGATATATTTTCACAGATTCATAGTATTGAGATTGTTGATAATAATAGTTTTTTATGAAAAATTGATTCTCAAAATAGATACTGGTTTTATCTGCAAAGACATTTACATGATTTAAACAGTAATACCAGACATACGAGACAGGATAAACTAGCATCCTATCTTATCTTACCAGTTAAACTTTGTATCCATTTTACAGGTTTTAATTTTTCAATTAAGTAATTATTTGTTCAATTTTAGAAATACATGACGAGTGGGAGTTGTTTATGGTACAATAAAACACTGCAGGCAGAATAAACCATGAGGCGCAATTATTGTACGATAAATAACAACCACGAGTTGTTTATTTCTTATGTGAAATATCAAGATAACGTACAGCCCCTTTAAGGATTTCGATAAAATGTACAAGGTTTAGAAATATTTACCCAAATTTTAATAATGATGACTCCCTGAATAGAATTCGACCATGAACATGTCGGACAAGTCCATTTCATGAACAGGTGGGTTAAGTTTGGTATTTCCCGCGTTTTCTCACAATCCTTACAATCCTCATGTCAATTATCTGTACCTTTTCTCCTAATACCAATTGTCATATCTCTCCCACTTTTGGATACAATCGTTTGGCCACTGCGTTTATCTGCGTAGCCAACATACCAGACACTTCACACTCAAAAAAAAAAAAAAAAAAAAAAAAAAAAAAAAAAAAGTGGGTTCGAATCCCGATTCGCCCCGATTATGTTTCTAGGTTTGTCAGCACCATACCCGTGCTCGTGGGTTTCACCGAAGTGGTAAACCTCTTAGACCTGCATCACTTCGGGCTTTCCTCCCACATTAAGCTGACACGCCGCGATATTACTGGAATACTGTTAAAAGCGGCGTTAAACCCAACTCACTCACTCACTCACACTCAAAAATAATGTCGTCCAATATATGATGTCATTACGTTGCGAGCACATATTCCAATCTCCAGAAATGACATCATGGTAGAACAATGTTTTACAGTAAGATAAACTATGCTTCGTTGTTCATTGTTCTTTGCAATTTATCACGTAGCTATCATATTTATAGTTACAGCACCCAGTAGACATGGTGTATATTGTATGTTGCATTTAGGGGTCATTGTGTAGCTAACTTGTGGTGAAAGCAATGCTTATACCACGGCAGACTTGGGTTTGATTCCCCACAAGAGTGTTGTGTGTGAAGCTAAATCTTCTTGTCCCCTGATATGTAGTTTGCTAAAAGTATACTTCTTTGCTCAAACTGTGTTTGAATTTAATCATTGTTAATTACAGATCATGTTCAGGATGTTTCCGTTGAGGGAATAAAATCTATTTTGAAAATATGCATATTATAAGATTGGTGTTAATCGAGTGGAGTCATGATCACTGGTTTGTCTGGTCCAGACTTGTTGTTTAACGCTGCACTCAGCAATATTCCAGCTATATGATGGCAGTCTGTAAATAATCAAGTCTCGATCAGACAATCCAGTGATTGGCATCATGAGCATCAATCCATGCAATTGGGATACGATGACATACATTAACCAAGTCAGTGAGGCAGACCACTCGATCCCGTTAGTCGCCTCTTACGACAAGCATAGTCACCTTTTACAGCAAGCATGGGTTACTGAAGACCTATTCTACCCCCGATCTTCATGGGTGTGATTATTTACATGCTGCTATCATGTAACTGGAATATTGCTGAATGAATCTTTTAACAGCAAACAATACACTAGTTTGACACAAATAATCATCAGACGAGTAACTTGGTTATTTCAGAACAATGCGAGTCCAAGTGTGAAGGACCTGGTGGCAGACTTCAGCGACCACGCAGACAGCATCTACCAGGTGGCCAGCCTCGCTGCAGCCAGCTCCTCCGACAGTAAACGTAAGTAGGCCACATCTATCATACCTGTAGCTGTCATTCAAATCAGGGCAACATTTCAGCAGCAATCGTTGATAACCCACATCTATGCAGAAATCTGTGCAGTTTCATCCCTTGACTGTGCCAGGATTTGATGATCCTCGGTCTTAATCTTGGATACCTAAAGATTATGATCCTGTCAGCACCATGCATTTTTACTTTGGGCTTAAGATTAACTCTCGCAATAATCTGACAGCTGAGAAGATTTTCGAAAATTTTGGCATAATTTTAATATCAGTTCATTGATATCAAACATTTACATAAATGTTCACTGTTGGTTCTTTTTTTTTTAATAGATGTTTTTGAAAATCATTGTTTATTTAAAAAAATGTATATATAATTCATGTTTTTTTCAATTTCTACTGTTAATAAATGATAGAAAATGCCATTTGATTTTGCAAATAAACCAAATCAGATCATGTTGACCTGTTTGGCCAGGTCACAGCGTGCCTTCATTCATGTTCAGTGTCACAATCAGATAATGACCCCATCACTGTCACAGATCAGACATCATGTCCAGATGTATAGATAACACATGGAGGCTACAGAAGAGATTTGTAGGTTATATGTAGTTGCATACCAGTATCAGTGGAATATATATACAATACTAAACAAGCCAACATGTAATACCAATTTTATGAAACTCATGAATAGTTCTTGTATCTGATTGTCGAAAAGAATTTTTTGTGAGTTTCATAAAATTGGCATGAGTTAAGTATTTGGTATTTATGACTTGCTGTTTTTAATTTTTTTCAGTTTCTCTGTCGTGTGTAAATAGGCAGACATCAACGTGATCCACAGCATAATCCAATTGAGTTTATCAGAATAATACAACTTCAAACACATTAAAAGATGATACTTATTGATCTAATAACCATACAACAGTCATCTTTAGAATTCAGGGGACCATTCCACAAAGTTATGGTAGTGCAAGGTGATCATAACCGCCAAACTTTAACATAAACTTACAACTGTGTGATACGATCGTCTTGCGGAAAGGGGCCCAGCCCCACAAAGTTTACAAACATGTCACAGGACTTAAGATACACCGGCAAAACAATGCCACATGACGTCAGCCATGCAACAGGGTTGCTAGGGTCAACGAGTGTGCATATTCCCCTCAGAGAACTATCATCTCTGCAAGCAAAGTTGTTGAATAAGCCCAGGGATTTTGGGAGTTTTAAATATTTGTTAGTGAAACTAGTCCCCCAGTACATAAGCATGTGCTTTAGTATTAAACAGTTTGTAATACCAGCTTATTATCGGGCGCTGTCCGTCCATCTTTCCATCATGTTTCGTTTCCAGAGCAGAACTCAAAAACCATGAGAGACATGTTAACCAAACTTGGCACATAGATAAGTCTAGAGGTGAACTGGTGCCTTTTGATAGTTTGAGGGGTTTGTTTTAAATTTATTTTTTGAATTTCCATGGCAACGACTTTGATATAGACTGAAAATGGCAGTAGTGCTCCACACAGCCAGACCTGTCATATTGGAAAGGGATATAAGTATTTCATGCTACTCTACAGGCGAGTAATATTGGAATTGTTTGAGGGGTCATGGTGGCCCAGTTGGCAATGGTTCCAATATTCACTTGTAGAGTTACATCCTAGGATTCACTGATCGTTGGTTCAAATTACAGATTCAGCAGGATTAGAATCCTTGTGTTGCCAGGACCATACTTGTTCATGGGTTTCACTGAAGTGGTAAATGTATTAAGAACTATCACTTTCAGCTTTCCTCTGATGTCAAGATGACACACAGAGATATAACTGAAATACTGTTCGTGACTTAAAACCTGAACGCTCTCTGATCAGGAGTCAGCTTCCATTACTTAACAAGACAGGGAACATATGCTTGTATATTTGTGGGTCAGATATATCGGTCAGCTTCATAGGTCAATGGTGAATTGTTTGATAGGCATTACTTAGAAGTTGGCGGATGACAAAGTAGACACAATTTATGAATAACTTCTTATTATGCTAAGGTGACTTTTTGGTATAGATCCTTATACTGTTGTCAAGCAAGGCTATTTCATACTATCCACCTGCTGTGAACTAGCAATAATCACCCCATATATGTATACATAATCCTGTTTAAATGGCTTCGTGTCATATTTGTTTCCTCATCATGTGTTCTCTGTCCATCATGGTGTTACAGTGTTATCCTTCTGTTGTCATTACTTAACCTACTCATGGTAATCTCTCTTGTATGCAATTGTTACTGTTAATGGGGCGGTCGGGTAGCCTAGTGGTTAAAGCGTTCACTCGTCACGCCAAAGATCCGGGTTCGAATCCCAACATGGGTACAATGTCTGAAGCCCATTTCTGGTGTCCCCCGCCGTGATATTGCTGGAATATTGCTAAAAGCGGCGTAAAACCATATTCACTCAGTTTCTGTTAATCCTCCACTTACTATATATGTTCTGTACCATGTTCATTATTCAGCCTTGCTTGACAATGGTAGAAGGATCTATACCCAAATGTCGCCTTTACAGTAAATACATAAGTTGTTATCCATAATGTGTACTGAAAGGTCATCACTCCTTCAATACAGCGGTGACCTACTGACCGAATACTACCATGTGCTGACATGGATGACATTATCTTGATTGGAGTTCAATATCTGGACGAGGGTCAACTGATGTTTCCCAGGTCTGCATCTGTGTCATGGTGTCTATGTTCCGATATCGGTCACGCGGTTCAATTCCCCACATGAGTACAATGTGGGAATCCCATTTCTGGGGTCCCCTGCCGTGATATTTCCGGAATATTGCTAAATGCGTTGAAAAAGAATACTCACTCACTCAAAAACAATGATTTTTGCATTGCAATTGTGTTTGATCTTGTTGATCATGTGCTCTTGAATTTTCTCAAAATGGATATTCGCCTCTGTTACGTCTCCTTATCATGCTTATGATGACATCATATTTTGTGAAATTTTTCTTATTCATACAGAAAAAATTTGAATATTAATTCTGACAAGTTTTCTTCAGTGGCTGTGAGTTACAGTGGAGGGGTGAAATGATGCTCGGTTACCGGTGCATCACTAGTTTTCATGTGACGATGCTATACACAATGTTTGTTTTTTTGTATCGATTAAAGACGATACACTTGCTAAAACCAATTACTCACTACTAGTTTCATGACCTCAGTATTTTTGTCAGTCAAATATCACAAAATGTGTTGAAATTAGGGTCACATTCACTAATGAAAATAACCGCTACAAACATGTGTCTACAGCTAGCTTTTCCTTTTGAACCTGCTTTGAAATGTTTAAAGTAAGAAGTTTCAACAGGATTTTATGTAAATATGCGTATCACGGATTGATTGTTTTTCTCGGCTACAGGTGTGAGGGTGATCCGTGCCTGCGTGTACCATCTTGAGAAAATTGACCCCAACATTGTACCATCAATCAAGGCAGTTGCCAGGCAACCAACAAACATGGCCGCCCTGAGAAACTTAAAGTTATTGGTAAAGGGCTGGAAGGAAGAGTTATCTGCTCTTGTAGAAGTTCTGGATGAAATGGTAGACCCGGAGTTGTTTATAGAAGTTTCAGGTACTTCCATGGCTCATTAAGACACATACATACTTTTTTAAGATGGATCTTAACTTTACTGTACCATTGCAAGCAGCTTCCGTTATTCATCGTCCTTGAATAAATGGGACCCGTGAAGAGCCGGTGTAGAATAGGTCTTCGGCAACCCATGCTTGCCGTAAAAGGCGACTATGCTTGTCATAAGAGGCGACTAACGGGATCGGATGGTCAGGCTTGCTGACTTGGTTGATGCATGTCACCGTATCCCAATTGCGTGGATTGATGCTCAGGATGTCAATCACTGGATTGTCTGGTCCAGACTTGATTATTTACAGACCGCCGTGATATAGCTGGTATATTGCTGAGTGCGGCGTTAAACAACAAACCAACCAAACCAACCAACCTTGAATAAATGGAGATTTGCAGCTTATTTAACTTAACTTCTCTCAACTCACTGTCAAATATTTCCACTTCAATCAAACAAATCAAAGAATCGTAACCTTACACGCTGATGTCTTTTCTGCCAATCAGAGTTGAAGATAGGTGAGGACATATGTGCCGTGCGCGGGTTTCTCCTCCAGGCGGACCATGAGGGCAGCACCGAGGCCATCTCCTGCGTGTTCCGCCGCACCAGGCGTGTCATACAGATAGCCCAGTCAGTGGTGGACCACAGCACGGACGCCATCTACAGGAACGGCCTGCTCGTCTTTGTCAGAAAGCTTCAACAAGGTGGGTATGTTCTTGGCAACTTGACTATGGCTATACAGTAAACTACGGTTATAACAAACTCAAAGGAACCACTGATTTTAGTCCGTTATAACTGTAGTTTGTTATAAGCACATATGCAGCATATATACAGCAAATGGCCAGGACCAAAAAAAACAGTTTGTTATATCCGTCAGTTTGCTATAAACATACTTTACTGTATTTTATTTCTTGGATCACAGACACATCACACACCCAAATGTTTTTGTGATTACTCAGTGAAAAGATCCACAAGTGTAACATGAGGGTTGGAAACTCAATATGATGTTCATGTTTCGCCAGATTGATCAGTCATAACTGATTCTGTTCACAGTAAATCTTGGTCAGTCCTTTGTCTTGGTACACTGACTGCTGAAGTCGACTGTCAGATGTGTGGGAAATATGAAAGTAAAATAGACTATATTTTTTATCCCCTGCCCCGAAGTGGAAGGGGATGTAGGAATGGCTGCTGTCCATCCGTCATGATTCGTTTTCGGAATTCAAAAACCATGAGAGATATCATAACTTAAATTTAAATTTAATCTTAAATTTATTTTTCGAGTTTTCATAGCAATGACTTTGACATACACTGAAAATGGCGGTAATGCTCGTTTCTGAAGCAGATCTTGAAAACCGTACAATATTTCTTGCCCTACACACAACCAGACATGTCATATTGGCGGGGGATATTAGGAGTTCATGCTTTTTTAGGACTTTAATAACACTAAAGGTAAAGGTAAGACTAAAATGTGCCTTATGTGTACGAGTAAAAAAAAGTTGAGGACACCTGATTCTTTCATATTACTATAGTTCATCTGTCATGGCAAATGTTTTGGTCCAATCAGCTGAGTCTATCACCAAAGAGGCACTGAGGTACCTGCAGCGAGACGTCCACAACGAGCGTCTGCAGGAGACCTTCGTGAAGCACCTGCTCCTGCTGAAGGGGTTTGTGGGACAGGTGAAGGAGGGCCTGTCGGCCGACAACCACCCCGACATAACCAGTCCCGACCGGATGAAGGTGTACAAGAAGAAAAGGCTCAGGCTGTCAGGTAGGAGCAGGTGGAGGGGAATCGTGATGTCATGGTGATGGAGCTGTCATGGTAATGGTGTTGTCATGGTGATGGAGTTGGCATGGTAATGGAGTTGTCATGCTGATGGAGTTGACATGGTGATTGTGTTGTCATGGTGATGGAGTTGTCATGGTAATGGAGTTGTCATGCTGATGGAGTTGTCATAGTAATGGAGTTGTCATGGTGATGGAGTAGGCATGGTGTTTGAACTGTTATGGTTCACCGGGCATTGGTCGTAGTTATTGAGTGATCATGTTCTTGGATTGTCATGAATATTGATTTGTCATGGTTATTGAGTTGTCATGGGTATTGAATTGTCATGGTTATTGAGTTGTCACAGTGATGACTACTCATTGTCCTAGTATCATGTGTTTTAGTGTCATGCACTGGTTAGGACAAAAACAGAGCCCTATTTGAAAAACAGATTTAAGCACTGTGACTGTCTCTGGCCAGTGATGAAGTATGTGCGTTAAGAGACCCAAAGCATTGACATAATATGGCTTTTTTGAAATTACAAATCTTAAGTTTGAACCCCTTCCCAGCACCAGTGACATTGTTCCAAACCTCAGTTGAACATTAGGACAGTGTGTTAAATAAACTTCTGACAATAGCAATAGTTTGAGACAAGTCTGAGCATCAGTTAAGATGGATTGGTACCAACTGTAATGCTATTAATTAACATGGTGATTATGTTTGATGGTTGTACTAAACACAGCAGTACCAGTTGAAAACTCTGTGGTCTAGAGGTAGAGCGTCCGCCCGGAGAGCGGAAGGTCCAGGGTTCAATCCCCGGCCTTGTTATACCAAAAGACATGAAAAAATGGTACTTGTTGTTGCCCTGTCTGGCACATGGCATTAAGGGGGGAAAACAAAAACGTTAAACCCCATTTCACCTCACCTGAAAAAGTAACAAAAACCAGAAATGGAGAATCAGACATTTCTTCTTTTGAAGTCCCAGCAAGAAGAAGTCCCAGCAAGAAGAAGTCCCAGCAGGTAGAAGTCCCAGCAAGTAGAAGTCCAAGCAAGTAGTAGTCCCAGCAGGTAGAAGTCCCAGCAAGTAGATGTCCCAGCAAGTAGATGTCCAAGCAAGTAGAAGTCCCAGCAGGTAGAAGTCCCAGCAAGTAGATGTCCCAGCAAGTAGATGTCCCAGCAAGTAGAAGTCCCAGTAAGTAGAAGTCCCAGCAAGTAGAAGTCCCAGCAAGTAGAAGTCCGAGCAGGTAGAAGTCCCAGCAAGTAGAAGTCCGAGCAAGTAGAAGTCCCAGCAGGTAGAAGTCCGAGCAGGTAGAAGTCCCAGCAAGTAGAAGTCCCAGCAGGTAGAAGTCCCAGCAGGTAGAAGTCCCAGCAAGTAGAAGTCCCAGCAAGTAGAAGTCCCAGCAAGAAGAAGTCCCAGCAGGTAGAAGTCCCAGCAAGTAGAAGTCCCAGCAGGTAGAAGTCCCAGCAGGCAGAAGTCCCAGCAAGTAGAAGTCCCAGCAAGTAGAAGTCCCAGCAAGTAGAAGTCCCAGCAGGTAGAAGTCCCAGCAGGTAGAAGTCCAAGCAAGTAGAAGTCCCAGCAAGAAGAAGTTCCAGCAGGTAGAAGTCCCAGCAAGTAGAAGTCCCAGCAAGTAGAAGTCCCAGCAGGTAGAAGTCCCAGCAGGTAGAAGTCCAAGCAAGTAGAAGTCCCAGCAAGAAGAAGTTCCAGCAAGTAGAAGTCCCAGCAGGTAGAAGTCCCAGCAAGTAGATGTCCCAGCAAGTAGATGTCCCAGCAAGTAGAAGTCCCAGGAAGTAGAAGTCCCAGCAAGAAGAAGTCCCAGCAAGTAGAAGTCCCAGCAGGTAGAAGTCCCAGCAAGTAGAAGTCCAAGCAAGAAGAAGTCCCAGCAAGAAGAAGTCCCAGCAAGTAGAAGTCCCAGCAAGTAGAAGTTCCAGCAAGTAAAAGTCCCAGCAAGTAAAAGTCCCAGCAAGTAGAAGTCCAAGCAAATAGAAGTCCAAGCAAATAGAAGTCCAAGCAGGTAGACGTCCCAGCAGGTAGAAATCCCAGCAAGTAGAAGTCCCAGCAAGTAGAAGTCCCAGCAAGTAGAAGTCCAAGCAAATAGAAGTCCCAGCAGGTAGAAGTCCCAGCAGGTAGAAGTCCAAGCAAGTAGAAGTCCCAGCAAGAAGAAGTCCCAGCAAGTAGAAGTCCCAGCAGGTAGAAGTCCCAGCAAGTAGATGTCCCAGCAGGTAGAAGTCCCAGCAGGTAGAAGTCCCAGCAAGTAGAAGTCCCAGCAGGTAGAAGTCCCAGCAGGTAGAAGTCCCAGCAAGTAGAAGTCCCAGCAAGTAGAAGTCCCAGCAGGTAGAAGTCCCAGCAGGTAGAAGTCCAAGCAAGTAGAAGTCCCAGCAAGAAGAAGTCCCAGCAAGTAGAAGTCCCAGCAGGTAGAAGTCCCAGCAAGAAGATGTCCCAGCAAGTAGAAGTCCCAGCAGGTAGAAGTCCCAGCAAGAAGATGTCCCAGCAAGTAGATGTCCCAACAAGTAGAAGTCCCAGGAAGTAGAAGTCCCAGCAAGAAGAAGTCCCAGCAAGTAGAAGTCCCAGCAGGTAGAAGTCCCAGCAAGAAGAAGTCCCAGCAAGTAGAAGTCCCAGCAGGTAGAAGTCCCAGCAAGTAGAAGTCCAAGCAAGAAGAAGTCCCAGCAAGAAGAAGTCCCAGCAAGTAGAAGTCCCAGCAAGTAGAAGTTCCAGCAAGTAAAAGTCCCAGCAAGTAAAAGTCCCAGCAAGTAGAAGTCCCAGCAAGTAGAAGTCCCAGCAGGTAGAAGTCCCAGCAAGTAGATGTCCCAGCAAGTAGATGTCCCAGCAAGTAGAAGTCCCAGCAAGTAGAAGTCCCAGCAAGAAGAAGTCCCAGCAAGTAGAAGTCCCAGCAAGTAGAAGTCCCAGCAAGAAGAAGTCCCAGCAAGTAGATGTCCCAGCAAGTAGAAGTCCCAGTAGGTAGAAGTCCCAGCAAGTAGAAGTCCCAGCAAGTAGAAGTTCCAGCAAGTAGAAGTCCCAGCAAGTAGAAGTCCCAGCAAGTAGAAGTCCCAGCAAGAAGAAGTCCCAGCAGGTAGAAGTCCCAGCAAGTAGAAATCCCAGCAAGTAAAAGTCCCAGCAAGTAGAAGTCCCAGCAAGAAGAAGTCCCAGCAAGTAGAAGTCCCAGCAGGTAGAAGTCCCAGCAAGTAGATGTCCCAGCAAGTAGATGTCCCAGCAAGTAGAAGTCCCAGCAAGTAGAAGTCCCAGCAAGAAGAAGTCCCAGCAAGTAGAAGTCCCAGCAAGTAGAAGTCCCAGCAAGAAGAAGTCCCAGCAAGTAGATGTCCCAGCAAGTAGAAGTCCCAGTAGGTAGAAGTCCCAGCAAGTAGAAGTCCCAGCAAGTAGAAGTTCCAGCAAGTAGAAGTCCCAGCAAGTAGAAGTCCCAGCAAGTAGAAGTCCCAGCAAGAAGAAGTCCCAGCAGGTAGAAGTCCCAGCAAGTAGAAATCCCAGCAAGTAAAAGTCCCAGCAAGTAGAAGTCCCAGCAAGAAGAAGTCCCAGCAGGTAGAAGTCCCAGCAAGTAGATGTCCCAGCAGGTAGAAGTCCCAACAAGTAGAAGTCCCAGCAAGTAGACAAGTCCCAGCAAGTAGATGTCCCAGCAAGTAGATGTCCCAGCAAGTAGAAGTCCCAGCAAGTAGAAGTCCCAGCAAGAAGAAGTCCCAGCAAGTAGACAAGTCCCAGCAAGTAGACAAGTCCCAGCAAGTAGAATTCCCAGCAGGTAGAAGTCCCAGCAAGTAGAATTCCCAGCAAGAAGAAGTCCCAGCAAGTAGAAGTCCCAGCAAGTAGAAGTCCCAGCAAGTAGAAGTCCCAGAAAGAAGAAGTCCCAGCAAGTAGAAGTCCCAGCAAGTAGAAGTCCCAGCAAGAAGAAGTCCCAGCAGGTAGAAGTTCCACAAACTGATAATGCTTCCAGGTTTCGAAGACAAGATTGATTTAACTTTGTCTTACTGTTATGCCATCACTGTTGTTGATGACTTGCTTGATAAAGGTTCTGGCATCTGTACTGAAACATTGCATGGAAATAATATGAGAAAAATAAGAAGTTGGAATCCATGAGTCATAAGCCTTCATTTTTTTGTTGCTGCAGCTTTTAAATTGCCACTTGTACGCAACCTGCCCAGTTATTGACTGACATGCAATCAGTCTGGCAGCACAACAGGGTTTAACTCAGTATTATACATGGTACAGTAAGCACTTATGGTGTGGCATTGATTTGTGTGTCTTGGACATATTCCATGGAACTGTCAAGTGCTGCTGTAAGTCTAAATCAAGGCACAGAAGTTATTGCTGCAACTACCAGAAACCTATGTTACATTGTCGAGAGCAGTGTTCGTATCCTTATACTAGTCACACACATAGTCAATCAATCAATCAATCAATCAATCAGTCATTCCTGGCATTTTATGGTGATTGTTCAATCAATCAATCAATCATGACATTTAGAGTGCTTGTTCAATCAATCAGTCTTTTAGAGTGTGTGCTCAATCAATCAATCATGGCCTTTTGGAGTGCTTGTTCAATCAATCAATTAGTGTTTTAGAATGTGTGTTCAATCAAGCATGACATTTAGTGTGCTTGTTCAATCAATCAGTCAATCAATCAATCAGTCTTTTAGAGTGTGTGTTCAATCAATCAAACATGGCCTTTTGGAGTGCTTGTTCAATCAATTAATAACAGTCTTTTAGAATGTGTGTCAAGCAGGACATTTAGAGTGTGTGTTCAATCAATCAATCATGGCCTTTTGCAATGCTTGTTCAATCAATCAATCATAGTCTTTTAGAGTATGTGTTCAATCAATCGTGGCCTTTTTGAGTGCTTGTTCAATCAATCAGTCAATCAATTAATCACAGTCTTTTAGGGTGTGTGTTATCAGTCAATCAATTATGGCCTTTTAGAGTGCTTGTATGTATGTGTGTGGACAGATCACCTTGCAGAATTTCTGCTTTTGTCAACTTGGTTCACAATAGTGCTTAAACAATACAACAATACAACAATACAACATAATGCTGTATTCCACAGATGTTACTATTACTTCTTTGTGATTGTTAGTGTTAGATGTATAGTGTCTGTGTGAAATGTCATCATAGAGATGTTACTAAGTCACACAAATATATACACCCACAACATTATGTTGGTCAGCTGACAATAAGAGGGTGACATGGTCAAAACCCAGCTGTGGATTTCTAGAAGTTGGTTGAGTAGCTCAGTGTCAGCCTTCTATGGGGATAGTCCATGTTTGATTCCCACATGTGCACAAGAAGATCATTTATGATTGCCTTAATCAATGCAGGCTTATGACCTGAGATAAGTGTTATGCTATAGCTTTATGCTATAGCACTCTACGAATTCTCTTTATCTGTACAGTAAAAACTAGTACAAGAAAACACGCACACACGCACGCACGTGAATATCAGCATGTCCAACAGAGTATGTCACACAAACTCGGAGATTATGACCGTGTCCACACACACACACACACACACACACACACACACACACACACACACACACACACACACACACACACACACACACACACACACACACACACACACACACACACACACACACACACACACGTGCATGCACATCGCTATATAAATGCAACAATCTCGAACACAACACTAAAACCTCATTTCACCTCACCTCACCTCACTTCACCTCACTTCACCTTCACCCATGTCAATCACTGGATTGTGCCGACTGCTGTCATATAGCTGGAACATTGCTGAGTACAGCATCAAACAAAACCAAAAAAATCATTAAGGATGTCATGGTAACTGAATTAAGATAATTTTCATATTTGTTTCAGGCTCCAAAATCAACAAGCCCCCCAGCAAAAGGCGCAGTCATTCACACCAACAACCTAGTTACCGTCCATCCTCAAAGTCTGGCCTTGACCTTGCCCCTAGGTCCACCAATCGGAAGCAGGCATCAAAAACGGCAAAACATGATGTCTCACCTGGCAAAGACAGACAACAAAAACCAGCAGTATCTTCTGACGAGGCACCTGCTTCAGGTAACGAGCCATCCTCCATTAGTGGAACAGTTGGACACAATGACAACTTCCTATGGATGTTACTTGGATGAATGTGTAACTACTACAATTTATAGATGGACTAAATGCCTTGGGTAGCCCTGTTGTCTAAGGTGCTATATTTCAATAAGCCAAGCTGTGTCCCTTAGCTGGAAGGATCTGCTAGTCATGGGTTCGGATCCCAAATTTAAACGGATTGTGATCCTTGGTCTGTCAGCACGATTCCTGTGGTTGTCAAATGTCTAATATACTTAACTTCCAACTGACACAGACAAAGCTGATATACTGTTCGAAAATGTGTTAAACCCAACTCACTCATATACTGAATACTGTAAATAATATATAAAATCAAAAACCATTGTGTCAAAGGGACCTACGTAAAAACTTTGAGTCACCGAGGTTCAACACAACTGAAACTGATGAATAAAGAAGGAATACGCAGGGACCAGGATTCTAATTAGTGACAAATGTCAGTTTGAAACATGAAAGGTCGACACAACGGTATTTGACTGTATATCATGGTGTGGAATTATTGTCTCCATGTACTCAAACATATTTTGATTAAATTGTTAAGACTAAACTTTTCCACCTTGCACTGTTATAGCAAACAGGCAAAAGCACAAACATGTATGATATCAATACACAATAACATCCTTTATTACAATGTAAATAAACATGGAAACATGTCTGGATTTTTTGGGTGATAACAAGTATTTTCTTCGTTGTTTAACGCCGCACTCAGCAATATTCCAGCTATATGACGGCGGTCTGTAAATAACCGAGTCTGGACCAGACAATCGAGTGACTGATATCATAAGCATCAATCCAGGCTATTGGAACACAGTAACATGCATCACCCAAGTCAGCGAGCCTGACCACCCGATCCCATTGGTCGCCCCTTATGACAAGCATAATCGCCTTTAACGGCAAGCATGGGTTTCTGAAGACCTATCTACCCCGGATCTTCACAGGTTTGATAACAAGTATAACATGCTGCTCAGTTGATGTTATTTTGATGAGAGCAATGAACTTCTGAAACAGATTTCACCTTGTCCACTATTTGGTTTTTTTTGATAGATGACCAGTGAATGCTATATTTAGTGTCATTCATTTGCAGCTTACAAGAAATCGCCCAACGCCTGTCTGCTTGTTTAGGTAGTCAGGAAACCACTCAGTAAGTCTTTATGACTTTTGTTTCTGATATTATCTTTGAAACCAGCTGCGTGTTGCAGGTAGCCTTGGAGTTAAGATGTCTGACATTCGCCTGGTAGCGAAGCAGTTTGTGTCTGCTGCTGTGGCCGGAGATAAGCAGCGGGTCAATGTGCTGACCTCTGACCTCCTTGCCTGGACGAATCACATTTTAGATGCTTCCCAGAGCCTGACCAATCATTGCACAGAGCTTGAACACATAGAGTGAGTGTTAATTACCTTGGTTACCTTGATGACACGTTTAAACATTGACAGTGGTCAAAATAGAGCTAAAATTAGTCCTTTCAGTTTTTTTACTTAAAGAAAAGACACAAACCTCCTAAGAAACCCTTTCCAAACATTTTTCACATACTTAGCCCAAGGAGAGAGAGAGTGAGAGAGAATACAAAAGTTGTTCCGCTGTTTTTACATCACAGTGCATATCTGTGATACACCCAGATGATGCCTGTGCTGATAAGGTGAGCTATAAACATAGTATGAAGTCATAGTGCAATCTAACATCCTGATATATCCATATATATATACAGATACCTTTTGGTATGACAGACAAGAAATCTGAAATGTCTTCTTTTTCCCCTCACAATTATTAACCAGGAAATAGAAAGTGCGTCCTAAGTATTGAAAAAATGAGGGTAGGTGTCAGTTATTGAAAGACCTAAAAAGGGGTTCCCAAAATTTGAATATTACTGTGACCTTAGCTGTTGCCCTGATACCATTGTATGAAGCCTTCGTTGTGTGTTGTTACCTGAATAATGGGTTTGTCTTTGCTTGTTGCCCCATTCTCAGTCCATTGTGTTGTGGAGGTTTTGTTGATGTACATTAAAACATCGTGATCTGGTGTCCACAGAGAGATGGAGAGCCTGTGTAGAGAGCTTGATCAGCTCACCCCAGAGACTATCAACAAGGCCAAGTACGTCGTGGTGGGGGACATCAGCGAGGTGGCCAATCTGCAGCACACAGCTGATGCCTGGGCTGATAAGGTGAGCTATATACTTGGCTCCTTAGCCCTGTTACACACAGCTGATACCAAGCCTGATAAGGTGAGCTATATACTAGGTTCCTTAGCCCTGTTACACACAGCTGATACCAAGCCTGATAAGGTGAGCTATATACTTGGCTCCTTAGCCCTGTTACACACAGCTGATACCAAGCCTGATAAGGTGAGCTATATACTTGGCTCCTTAGCCCTGTTACACACAGCTGATACCAAGCCTGATAAGGTGAGCTATATACTTGGCTCCTTAGCCCTGTTACACACAGCTGATACCAAGCCTGATAAGATGAGCTATATACTAGGTTCCATAGCCCTGTTACACACAGCTGATACCAAGCCTGATAAGGTGAGCTGTATACTATGTTCCATAGCACTGTTACACACAGCTGATACCAAGATTGATAAGGTGAGCTATATACTAGGTTCCATAGCCCTGTTACACACAGCTGATACCAAGATTGATAAGGTGAGCTGTATACTAGGTTCCATAGCCCTGTTACACACAGCTGATACCAAGATTGATAAGGTGAGCTGTATACTAGGTTCCATAGCACTGTTACACACAGCTGATACCAAGATTGATAAGGTGAGCTGTATACTAGGTTCCATAGCCCTGTTACACACAGCTGATACCAAGATTGATAAGGTGAGCTGTATACTAGATTCCATAGCCCTGTTAGCCCGGGCTGAAGCCTGGGCTGATAAGTTGAGCTATGTACTTGGCTCCTTAGCCCTGATGCCTGCACTGATAAGGTGAGCTATGTACTATGTTTCTTAGCTTGATACACACAGTGATAGTTGGACGGGTATAAGGCTGTTGTAGCTCAGTATTGTGGGCAGGAGTGGCCAAGGGTATTTTGGTCCATTATCACTGACTGATTACTTGTGTAATTAGTACTTGTTCTTTTCAACGCAAACATACACAGACAACTGCCTTCAACATGTAAGAGGTGACCAGCAGGGTCAGGCTCGCTGACCTTGTTGATACATGTCTTCGTATCCCAAATTCCGTGGATCGGTGCTCATGATGTCAATCACTGTATTGTCTTTTCCAGACTTGATTATTTACAGACCCATGTCATATAGCTGAAACATTGCTGAATGCAGCGTTAAACAACAAACAAACAAACAAAACAGCCTTCAACATGCATATTACATGGTAAGGTAAGCTACAACTAGAACTGTATCAAAGCACAACTCTGATATGAAAGATGAGCTGCTTCATGATGACTAACATACTCTAAAACAACTGCCTTCAACATGCATATTACATGGTAAGGTGAGCTACAACTTTGAGCTGCATCATGATGACTAACATACACTAAAACAACTGCCTTCAACATGTGTATTACATGGTAAGGGGGGCGGTCGGGTAGCCTAGTGGTTAAAGCGTTCGCTCGTCACGCCGAAGACCCAGGTTCGATTCCCGACATGGGTACAATGTGTGAAGCCCATTTCTGGTGTCCCCCGCCGTGATATTGCTGGAATATTGCTAAAAGCGGTGTAAAACCATACTCACTCACTCACATGGTAAGGTGAGCTACAACCTTGAGCTGCATCATGACGACCAGGTGAGGCAGTACACTCACCTGGATTCAGCCCCTGGCTGCTGAAGCAGATAAGTTGGCCTGAAAGTCTGTTGTTTATCAGTCACTGCCATCCCATCAGCACCAACGGCAAATTACTTGTGTGTATTATGACGTTAGAGTTAAACTTCCCCAAGAGTCCTCAGGTGATGTAGATTATTTCCGTCTATAGGCTTACCTGTAGTCAGAGGTAATTAATGAGAAAGTAATTAGACAAATATAGAAAAGAGGATTATTTCCCCTGGGGGAGAAGGTGCTCTGTGCATCTCTGTACAAAACAATTTTGATCTTTTTGATCCATCAGGAATATCTGACTGGTTTTAACCTATGTTAGCTCACCTGGTTCAGGACATCAAGTTCTGGCATCCATTATTTAGTTTATATTTTTTCATGTTCATTCCCTAAAGCCCATACTTGTTTCCCTGTTTAGAGAATGTTGGAAAGTTAGTAATAGTGGCATTAAACAAAACACACTCACTCACTCACTCCTGTTTCCAGCTGGATAAAGTCCGAATCCACCTGGACGTTGCCGTGGATACATGGAAGACTGTAGCAGACGGCATCCTGGTAGCCATCCAGAAGGGCAGCGTGGACAAGCTCAAGGTTGAGGTGGGTTGTGGACTCTTAGTTGAGATATGTGTATTGAGAGCAAGTCGCAGTAGGACATACAGTAATCAGTACTTGACTATTGTCATTCTAGGGTGGGTGGCCCAGTTGTCTAAGTTGCTGCAATTTGCTGTGCAGAGTTGCTTCCCTTGGGGATGCCAGTAACCTATGATCATGGTTCGAATCCCTGGTACACCCTGATGATGTTTCTAGCTTTGTCAGCTATGTTTTTAATGGGTTTCAATAAAGTGGTAAACATCTAAGACCTGCATCACTTCGAGCTTTGCTCCACATCAATGTCAAATGCTGTGATGTTGCTGAAATACTGTTTACTCAAAGTGACATTTAACCAGATTTGTGTTAAGGTGTGAAAGGGAAGAACTATAGGACTAATTATTGCATGTTTCACCATTGTGGTGAATGTCAACAGCCAGCTTGTATTCATGGAAAAGTATGTGACAGGCCGGGATATTTCTGGAATCATATTCAAACCAGCATTAAACCTCACTCAATCACTCACTCATACTCACACAAACACCCACACACTCAGTCGCCCCTCACTCACTCACTCAGCCGCCCACCCACTCACTCACTCACTTGGGGCAGTCGGGTAGCCTAGTGGTTAAAGCGCTTGATCGTCACGCTGAAGACCCAGGTTCGATTCCAGACGTGTGAAGCCCATATCTGGTGTCCCCCGCTGTGATATTGCTGGAATATTGCTAAAAGTGGCGTAAAACCTCACTCACTCACTCACTCACTCACTCACTCACTCACTCACTCACTCACTCACTCATCCAGTCACTCACTCATCCAGTCACTCACTCATCCAATCACTCACTCATCCAATCACTCACTTTCAGATGACCACCCTAGAGAGTCACCAGGAAGCCCTGGGAATCCTCCTGTCCTCTGTCGACTCATTCACTGCCGACTTAACGCCTGAATCTGACGCAACCTTGACCTTCCTCAAAGACCAAAGAGATGACCTTGACAATTTGACCATCACCATGAAGACCACAGCTGACCTCACTTTGCAGACAGGTTAGAAACATATTTTTTTAGTATTCTTTTGCTCTGTTCATTGGTTGATACCACAGAAATCTATGTGTATTTTTAGTTGTACATCTACATTTTCACACTCACCAAATCATGTACTGTAGTTCAGTGCCTGATGATCATAGAACAATGATGGCCGTATCTTTCAAAACGCTGCTGTTGTAATCAGGATCCTCTCAAATGTTGAATGTATTTTTGTCGCAAAATGAGTTATGATTACCGATGTCATATGTGTCATGGATTGTGGAATTTGAATAAATGTAAAGCCAAACATTTTCCTGCTGTGGTAACGTGAAGGATCATTGCCACATGAACAGATTAACTCTTACCCGTCTGGTACAAGGGAGGGGCGGTGGGGTAGCTAGTGGTTAAAGCGTTCACTTATCACACCGAAGGCCTGTATAAGATTCCACAAATGGGTACAATGTGTGCAGCCCCTTTCTGGTGTCTCCCGTCGTGACATTGCTGGAATATTGCTAAAAGTGGCGTAAAACCATACTCATTCACTCACTCACTCACTCACTCACTCACTCACTCACTCACTCACTCACTCACTCACTCACTCACTCACTCACTCACTCACTCACTCACTCACTCTGGTACAACAGAGTTAAACACTGTACTTTAATCAATGCCTCCTCAGGTAAATGCTTATTCATCCACTCTTATGTTATATATTTATGAGTACATATGTGGACATTCTCAACATATCTTATTTTAATGCAGTTTATGTAAAATTGTTGATGCGTAAAATGTGACACTTCTTCCATCCATGTGATCTTTGTCAGTGTGGTCAAGCTAGGGTGTCGGTACCGTGAATGGATTTCAGAAATGTAAACTCTCACTTATTAGAAATAGCTTCTGGTTTGGTTAAACAGCTGTTCATGTGAATAGAGTGAGTGCATGTCAACATGATGTGTAGAGAACTCAAAAGAGACATAATGACATTTGGATCTGTAGCCACTGAGAGCGTGAGTGAGTTTGGTTTAATGCCGTTTTGGACAGTACTCCAGTTCAGCTTAATGTGGGAGGAAATCCCAAAGTAATGCAGGTCTCAGACGTTTTCCACTTTGGTGAAATTCCATGGGTATGGTGCTGACAAACCTATAAACATAATCGGGGCGAACCATGGTTTGGAACTCATAATCAAAGGGTGCACAGAGAATTACGGCACCTTAAACAAGTGGGCCACCCTTGCCCCCAGTAGATATCGTGATGAAGTAGCAGGCCATTCTAGCATACAGTTTCTAACACTGCCACCAATGCTCAGAAGAAAATCTGCATATCATGTGTGATAAGTTTATTTGTTTGTTGTATAATGCTCAGCAATAGTCCAGTTTAGTTGACGACCTGTAAATAAGTGAGTCTGGACAGTCAAGCCAGTGGTTGATATTGTGGATAATATTGACGTTGATATAAAGTCATCTTTGTCCACTTTTCTTACAGGAAATGCAAATGATATCTGCGTCTATCGGTGCCAGCTTGGTCAGCTGTGTCGTGAGTGGGCAGTGCTGGTCACATGCGTGCTGTCCAGTCTCCGGACACTCACCTCCCAGGTGATGACTCGGGGTTGTGACAGGATTGCTGGACTAGGGGAGGTGACGCCAGACAACGCGGACAGGGACACCATGAGAGCTGTGGGGGAAAGTGTGAAGGAACTCCTCGACAGTGTTTCTGTTGGGTATGATGTGTGGAGATTTAGTTTGTGTTGAAAATCAATACTGCATACATGTTGAGCTCTAGATAACTTTAGCAAAGGTTTAGACACCAGCTTTAAAGATTAAACGAATTTGATGAATATTTCTACAGAGCTCCAGATAAGCTTTTGCTGTAGTGGGTATTTTACCCATGCATTTTAAAATCGTTGGGTATCAGTAATTCCATCTGGGTATTCAAATTTCTGTTACCCACTTGTTTTTACACATGTGGGTATTTAAGTTATTAAATATTTGAAAACACTATTCATCTAGTCCCAGCAAACTGGTGTCGTGTGGGTTCGAGAGCTTTATAGGACTCAAAAATACCACGATACTTCCACAAGAAAGTTTGATGGCAAATGATCATGATGTAACTGTCATCGTGGAGTATGGCAAGGTTGATGGCATGCCCGTTTATAATTTCAAAATAAGTTGCTGATTTGCTAATCGAATACGCAGGGTTACTTCTCAATATTTTGATGAAACACACACGTTTCATTTTTGTGGCGTATCTGTAATGTTCGTTGTGTATTTGATACGCTTGGATTTTATTTTACTGTGTATTTCTGCATTTTTGATGCGTATTTTACGCAGATATGCAGCTTATCTGGAGCTCTGTCTCTACCTTATTCACCATAATAAAAATTGACAGTGGGCCATATAACATGAGAGAAGCGTTTAGAGGGTGGGAGAGACCCGAGATACATCTTTCCTGATGTAACTCAATATTTAATATTCAGCAAGCTAGTGTGATGTCAAATTTTGTGATAATCATGTTCTTTTCAGTAATGAAGATTTGAAATCTCAATCATTTGAAATCAGCCAATTTCTGGATTCTTCCTTGGAGAAACTTCAGACACCAGGGGGCAGTGTGGTGGAGTTCCGGGGCGTACAGGAGGCCAACATTTACATCAGTCAACACCATAGACTCGTACTGGCCCAGTGGGTTGCCAAGGTAACACTGGTGACATGTTGACTTATGGAAGGAAAATGATTTGTGACATTTCCTTTTCATGCTGTTGTATCTTCAGTTCTTATGACTTGTACTGGTCCATTGGGTTTCCAAGGTAACACTGGTCACATGTTTCAGTAATTGTTATCGAGCATTATAAGGGTATTCTCACTGATTGGCTAGTTCATTCAATTGTTCAATTGTTTTTGTTGTTTGTGAAGAAGCTCATAACATCATGACTTCATGTATTGTCGCGTGTAATTGAAGATATATCACCCATTGTGTATGATGTCATCAACCATTCTGTGTGACATCATAGGACAACAGAACCAATATCTCCTCTTGAGATCAGGATACTATCATTTTCTACTTTTTCTCTGACAAAAAAAGGACCATGGGTTATATAAAAAATTACGTCCTCACAATTCAGAATTACAGATTGTCTGTTTGACGAATTAATGGTGTTTGTTCCCCACCATGGCTCAGAACTAATTAGTTCACTCAGGACAAATAATTCCGTAATTTCATGTAGCGCTGAGGTTATTCTCCAAATAACTGTTTGATTGGCATTCTCAAAGTTGGTGATAAGTAAGAAAACGTACAACTTCACGGATAACAACTTCACACCAGCTTGATAGCGGTGCAAGAATCTACATGGAAACCAGAAGTTGTTATCCATAAAGTTGTATGTTTTCTTATTCTCTAAGTGTGCCGTGAAGCTCGACACAGTCACTGGGCACAGTAGTATGATGTATAGACTATCACAGAGGACAGGGACAACACAATGGAATGTCACTGTTGTAGGTATTAGAAGCTCAACAGCTGGTGGACCACATGACCTCGGACTTCTGTCACCCTCTGGAGTCCTTCCATACACAGGCACTGGACATACACAGACTGTCTCTCACAGGTGAGATCATTGTGTAGTGTCTCTCACAGGTGAGATCACTGTGTAGTGTCTCTCTCACAGGTGAGATCATTGTGTAGTGTCTCTCTCACAGGTGAGATCACTGTGTAGTGTCTCACTCACATTTCAGATCATCTTATAACGGCTGCTTGTCACAGGTGAGATCATTTTATAATGACTGTCTCAAACCAGTGATATTGTATAATGACTGTCTCTTCACAGGTGAGATCATGTTATAACACCTGCTTCTTGTTTTATATTTGGAAATTGTCAACTTTCCCTGTGGAATCCAGGTCAGATCAGGACCCACTTGAACAAAGTGATCTTAGCGCTAAGATGGTTGTAACTCCCCTACTTTAACATAGGTTTACAATAGTCGTAGTGCTAAGATCGCTTTGTGCAAGTGGGCCGTGGTCCCAGTGACCTTTGCTTGTCACTCATTGGATGATGTGGACAGTGTACCAGGACAGCACATACCTTGTTCATGAAATCAATCACCGAGTTATCTGGCCCTGATTAGTTTACAGACATCTTTGACGACATATTGATGACTGCAACAAAAAACAACGCTGTTTCCCCTTCTGCTACCAGATCCAGCATCCTCGGCAGAACATAAATCCAACTACCTGTGCGAGGTGAGCAAGATGGCGGCCAACATCAGCATGGTGCAACAGAAGGCACTCAACGCCATCCAGCTGTCCCCAGACCTGGCCAAAAGGGGTGTTGTCAGGCGGTGCCTAGACGATATCGCTGCCCTCACACCCCAGTTGCTGGACAAGCTGAAGTCCTTTGTTGAGGGTAGGTAGCGCTGGAGTCATCTTGGTGCAAGATCTGTACCCTTTGTTGTGGGTAGGTACCAGTGGCGTCATCTATCTCCACCCTTTGTTGTGGTTAGGTAGTGCTGGAGTCATCTAGGTGCAAGATCTGTACCCTTTGTTGTGGGTAGGTAACACTGAAGTCATCTTGGTGCAAGATCTCAACCCTTTGTTGTGGGTAGGTACCACTGGAGTGTTTCAGACAGTAATACGGATGACTCTATGTGTTTCAGACAGTAATACGGATGACTATGTGTTTCAGACACTAATACGGATGACTCTATGTGTTTCAGACAGTAATACGGATGACTCTATGTGTTTCAGACAGTAATACGGATGACTCTATGTGTTTCAGACAGTAATACGGATGACTCTATGTGTTTCAGACAGTAATACGGATGACACGGAGCAGGAGACTCTCAAGGTCCAGTGGGCAGCTCGCATGAAGAGGCTGACACTGACTCTCCAACAGATGCCTGACCTTAGACCCACACTCAATACTGGTATGTATGTCTGGGTGAAATCAGGCAGTACAGATATCTCCAAGGAGATATCGCTAATATTAAATTGTATCACAATTGTTTAAAGACCATTCTGACACATCAATTACCATGACATCACAATCAAATGACATCAGTAAAATCTCTGCCACTGAAGCTGGTTAGCTGTACCATTTACACTGAAGACACTGGTTATTACTGTTACAAATGATTTTGTATAATAAATAGAATGTGCACTAAAAAATAACTCAGCACTGGTGATAAGTATGTTTTGCAATCACACCTGTTACTGATTTGTACCTCTGTGTTAGCCACCTGTTGGCTTAAAGATGTCAGTTTGCGTACAAACAGTAGAACCAGTTTAATCAGTGAAGAAATCTCAAAGTAGGATATTGTAAAGTCAATTCTGACCATATTTTCTAGTGGTCTTTATGTTATCCAAAGATGGAGTTATCTCCCTGTGATGGAGTTATTCCCAAGCTCCTCACAGCGATAGTCCGTTCGGAGAGCTCTCTTTACTATCGCTGCCACCAGTCAAAACTCCCCACTGTGATAGGTGGCCCCAACCATGCTTGGAGTTGAACTCGCAACCGAATGACCGTTATGTTTACAAACAAGTGACGACTGTCGTGGCGCCGAATACACTTACCGCTGATAAATTACTTTCTTTGTTTGTCAATTTGAATTTCTATTTCATTAAAAGTATCATCTTTAATTGATATAGAAACAATGTAAGGGAGAAGTTGGTTGATTTTCCGTTAGTCTGCAATCTCGAACCAATCTGATTATTAAATTCATCTGGAAAACATGGTCAGTCGTAAACCTTTTCAAAATGAAATATGATGGCATTCTCAAAGACATAAACAAAAGTATAAACGTTACTAATATGGGGTTAGAGGGCAAATTTCAAGATTCTTGTAATGGCCGCACCCACACTGGTGGCAGCGATGTTAACGAGAGTGTAACGAAGGTGTCACGTGCTGGGAAGGAGTTTGAGTTATTCCACACAATATCACTTCGACGCTCGAGGTTTGTTTGTGTCCTTGCATTCGTTACATTCTGTGTTGTGTATGTATATAAATTCTATGAGATTGTGATGTAATTGTGTGACATAGAGGGGCAGTTAGGATACAAACAAACCTCAAGCCTAAAAGAACACCCAGAAGTGACATTGTGTGGAATACAAAGGGAAATAACTCTGTCATGGGAATCACATAAAGGCCACTTGAAAATATGGTCAAAATATAACTTTACATTATTAATGATCACAACACACTAACTCAACAGGTTGTAAGTAACTTTTTTATTGACCAGTCAGGTGATACAATTAATATATGATTAATATATATATTGGTTGTATTTACATTTTCAGAGATTGTGAAACTGTTAACAATGGAGCCTAGCAGAAATGGTTTACCCAAGAATATTTCGAAAGAAGAGGGTAAGCCGAAACAACAGGACAATGAGGACCAAGTAGGTGCTGAAGGAGGACCACAGACACCTCTCAGGACACCAGGAAACAGGGGACATAACTCTGTTATAGGAACACCCATGCTTGGAATGTCTAGACATGACACGCCATTGCTTGGCACACCCAACCATAAACCACTTCGATCTATAATGGTATGTCGTTTTGCATTTGGTACCAGTTGCTCTCTCAATGTCTGAAGCCTTGGCAAGTAAAAGATTCATATGCAGTGAAGAGTCTAGAATATTTCTGTCTTTACTTTATCTCTGGGATTTGTCTGGACCAAAAAATCCATACATTGGACATGCTGTCCTGAAATATAATTGGTCGTTACAGGTCCCCCCCAAATTGTTTGGTCTCTTCCTTTTTGAGAAAATAATTGTTTGCCTTAAAGTGCTGAATGAAATATTCTACCTCAAGCAAAATCCCCATCTTGTCTGCTGCAGTCATCAGCTGTGTATCTGGAGGAGGTTACAAACCAATGGAGCACAGGAGAAAACCAGGTTATTCTGGTTGCCATGGAGATCGTCAAACACACAAAGAACATTGCAGAATATTGTTTTGGGAGAGGAGAGTTGGAGGTAAGTGAGAAACTGAAGCAGCATCAAGTGAAGCTTTGTGACTAACAACATCAGCTCTGTGTAAAACTGCACCTGCTCCTGCAGGCTTGTCATCTATCGACTGGGGCTGTGTTGGCCAACAACTAGTTAGCAATATATTGCGATACAGGCGTCTGTATTGCAATACATATTGTGATATATTGAGAGCTAAAATGTTTGACAGCTATTGACACACTTTGTACATGCAGATCTTGTTTTCTACAAACTAAGGTAAATATTACTCAGGAGGTCAGTCGCTGCCATTTTGTTGTCATAGATACAGGGGAGATAACAATGCGAGAAAAAAATCATATCTATGTTTCCGCTGTTTTGTCAATCAATTTCGAAAGGGAAACATGATTTATGAATGAATTTCTGTGTAGATTTTAGCTTAAACGATACGAATATATTTGGTATTTATTTTTTTAGCCAATATATGGTACCTAAACACAGGAAAAATATTGTTATACTTTTTGTTTGAAAAGCGAATTGCAGTCTACCAGTAATACCATGCAGTTTTAATATCTACAATAAATACACTGGTCATAAGAGGTGACTAATTGGATCAGGTGGTGAGACTTGGCAACTCGGTTGATTGCATGTCATCGTTACATTGACATTGGCATTGGCTGTTGACATTGGCTTTTGCTCATAATGTCAAGCACTGGTTGGCTGGTCCAGACTCAATTATTTGCCTTCATATATTGCTGAGTGGCATTATACAACAACCAATCAGATAAATGTTACTGGTAAACCTTCGTGTACAGTAACAGTGGTTATTTCAAGGCCTCTGTTGAAGCATCAGTGATGCAGCTCTCTCTGTGTGTTGTAGGACACTGCTGGGCTGGTGCGTGCTGCCTCCATTGTGGTGGAGAATGGACAGAAGATGCAGCGGTACATCCGGGCACTGGCCGACAGCTGTGTGGACGAGAGGTATTGCCACGGTTGTGGATTTCAAAGACTGCAACTCCTCTAAACTGACACACTAATATAACTGTAATACAGTTCAAGCATACAACCAAACTCGCACATTCACCCCATAAATGAAAAGTAATCAGTTTTAGGAGCATCATTATTTTAATCAGCAAATATGACCTATTTGTTTGTAATCTGTTGGGACTGTCCTAACTGATTTCAACGTATTTGTCGAGACATTTGTGACACAAAGATCTGTTTTAGCATGATGTAAACGTGTTACTCAAGATACTCACTCACTCACTCACTCACTCACTCACTCACTCACTCACTCACTCACTCACTCACTCACTCACTCACTCACTCACTCACACACACTCACACACTCACCCACCCACCCACTCACTCACTCACTCACTCACTCACTCACTCACTCACTCACTCACTCACCCACCCACCCACCCACTCACTCACTCACTACACAAAGCCCTGTGCTTGCAGTGATGCTCGAGACCTGAGAGTGTGTGTGGACAAGATCAGCTCCTTCACCACCCAGCTGAACATCATCTGCAACGTCCTGCACAACTCCCCGACCACAGCTGAGGTGAGAGACGTGCATGCCTTGCTTCAGATCAATCTCCTTTTTCTCAAGGTCGGGTAGCCTATTGGTTAAAGCATTCGCTTGTCACGCTGAAGACCCAGGTTTGCTTCCCAAATGGGTTCAATGTGTGAAGCTGATTTCTGATGTCCCCCATCATGATATTGCTGGAATATTGCTAAAAGCTCCGTAAAACCATACTCATTCTCTCACTTGTTTCTCATTAGCACAGTTTTGAAATGTTTGATTTATAAATTGTATTTGCAAGAAACACAGATGATATTCTTCTTGTGGCCCCTGTCATGGTAATTGTGGAATGTTACTAAAGACAGATTTATGCCATTTCGAACAATTGATATGTCCTGGATAAGTAAAACCCCGTGGGGACTTTAGGTCCCTTGTATTTCATGGGTACGATGTGTGAAGCTCATTGCTTGTGTCCCCCGCCATGATATTGCTGGAATATTGCTTAAAGCGGCATGACCCATGAAGATCCTGGGTAGAATAGGTCTTCAACAACCCGTGCTTGCCTTAAAAGGAGACTATGCTTGTCGTAACAGGCGATGAATGGGATCGGGTGGTCAGGCTCGCTGACTTGGTTGATCCATGTCATCATATCCCAATTTTCTTTTCATCTCATTTGTACAGTTTGGAAAGTTTGAATAAACCTTTATCTTCAGAAGAACCCATAAGATCTCACAGTTCAACCATTCTCAGAGATTTATATAGATTACTGAAAACCTTTATTCTTTTAAAAGAATCTACATGGAACAAGATCTTTCATAAATGCCATTTCTTACATTTTTTTGGAGTGAGGGTAAAATTGTTCTAAAATTCATTATAAATTAAATATGTTTAAGAACATTATGGACAGGTAGGGGAGCCTAGTGGTCAGGGTGTTTGCTTGTCACTATAGATCTGGGTTTGACTCCCAACAAGAGTGCAATGTGTGAGGCCCAGGGTTATTGCCCCCTGATGTTGCACAATAATGCTCACTTAATGACAGAAATACTAGGGTTGTCACGATAAATTGAAATATCGATATATTGCTATGGGTAAGCACTTAAAGTCAATAAATCAATTGTTAAATCAGTTTCCGATCAATAGTATCGATTTCAGTTAAGAATATTGATAGCGTCAATTGTATTTACCATATCAATAAAATACATGCAATGCTGTTCAAATTTGTGTTTCTTTTGATCATGAGTGGTAGTAATTTACACACATGTAATGTAGAAGTTTCTTTTTCTTAAATTATTAGGGTACAGAAAAAACAAATCAGTCATATCTCAAACTTTACTTTTTATTTGTTGTTATGGTTATCACATTCAAAGGACACTTCAGTTCCAAGGTTTAATTCAACTCTAAAATCCATCTTAAATGATAAACTAAAAACTATCGATATTTATCACAATAGTTGCCTGCAATATCCATAGTTACCGCAATAGTTTCTTTCAATATCAATAGTTATTGCAATAGTGATTTCCGGACCAATAGTCACCCCGACTCAATACCTCCTGTGAGATTTTATATTATTGGTTGCTGAAGGGAAAGTTATGAATTAATGCATGTCATGATACAACTGTAATACTGTTCAAAAGCGGCACTGACTCACTATGAATTAGCATCTACTCCATGTGAGATAAAGAGTGTTTTCTTCTCCCTATCAGAGTGATAAGATCGTGCTTAGGAACACCAGCAACCTGCTGAAGGCAGTTCAAGAGGCCTTCCTGGAGGCGGAAAAGGGCGGAGTCAGGGTGAGTTGTCATAGCAACTGTTCTGATTAAGAATTCATAATTTTAACTCTGATCTGGTCAAATCTTGCAGTGTCCTTTCAACAAATCAAGAAATATGTTGGCTTGTTTGCCTGGTCGAGATGCCATTTTTAAGAGGCCATCATAATATGTCTTGATTCCTAATACTGAATCCCGTTTAAAGCAAAACTTTAAGATGACAAGATACAGATATGTAAATGAGTATGTCACATGGGCCGTTGATACGTACTGTTATTTCTGTGCCAGGGTTTGACAGACAAATCTGGGCAGGACAGAGAAGATGGAGACATCCTCGCCCTGGTGTCCGAGTGGCAGAGGGCGCTGGTCTTGCAGAGGTCGGCCGAGGCAAACACGTCCCCTAGGGATGAGCTGGGGCTACGACGGGTGGAACGACATCGACCCCCATCACTGGTTCACATTCTTGAGTAGGGGAGTCACAATATGCAAACTTTATGAAATTATGTGTGACACTACTATTGCATCATTGTCCATGACATTCTCCATGTTCCTTTCTGCCATAACTGGGCCATTTATTGCCTTAAACCATCTTCCCGAGGCAAGGGATTTTGGCTGGACTAACAAATTGATGCATAGTCCATTCAAAAAACGCATAATGAAATCGACATCCGTTTGTCAACTGATATAAGAGGTGGAATCTGATTGGTCAGTAGGAAGGACGTAGACGGGACATAACTCATAATAGCCACTGGTGGCACTACGATTGAGTCCAGAAGTTCCAGTCTAGTCAGTAAAGTTCCTTGCTGTAGGCAGATGCTTGAAACCAGCTTGTGGTAACTCACATATTCTAATAACATACATATATCTAGCATAATGATTTGTGATAGATAGTAAGGTAAACATAAAGCTAGACTAGTTTTCTAGACACAGTTTTGTTTATTGACAGTAATTTTTGCCAGTCTTTGTGCATTTTACTTCAAAAATTGATACAGAATTAGAATATTTATTGATAATTTAACAGCAGTAGAAACTAACATTTTTAGTCCACTAGTCCTTATAATGATAACATATAGCAAAACCCTAAAAAATGGCAAATTTCTTCTAATCCCTATAATACCTTAACTATTGGGCAGTTTGGCAAGGACGACAGGACCGTGGCATCCCTATTGAAAATGGAAATTTAGAAAAAAACATTATATAACTTATGACTGCTTAATTGGGAATTTTATAAGCGTGCAGAGCACGCTTAATGAAATTGTCCTTTTATGAGTAAACTGAAATAAGGTCTAAATGTGATTATCCCTGGCTTCCGGCGGAAGTCACAAGCCTTTCAAAGTCACGTGAGAAAAACGAGATCTCGTCCTTGATTCTCTGAGCGAAGAAGAACAGACAAGTATATTTAGTGTGATAACAGTTTACTCAACAAAATAACAAATACTGGTACAGTACATGTCGTGACAGCAATAAAACCGAACGTCTTTGAATATCTGTGACACCGGCCCAAGTATCAGAACCTGCACCAGAGTTCGAAGACAACAAAGTCAACTTGTAAACCATGGTAAAGCAGTCTTGAACACGTCTGTGGTCCAGTCCACCCATACACACAGGTACCATGATCCCACTTCATAGAACCTAAGCCAACCAGAACAGCAACAAACACACGAAGTGGATCCTCCTTCCTCTACAGTCTGCAAACTCTTCTGATTTGGGGAAATGCATACGGTTTCATGTCCTTCCATTCCATTAGGAAGGCATCTGTTTGCCATGCTGTCAGATCTGGCCGCCAGCTGACATACCTGTCCACCTGTCTGTTCAGTCTGTCGGCAAACAGATCCACATTTATTGGTCCCCAAATTTTGTTTATTTGATTGAAATAAACTGTTTTCACTTTCCAGTTGCTGGAGTCTGAGTGGTGTCTCGACTCCCAATCTGCCTCCACATTGTCCTTCCCGGGAAGATATTTGGCTGATATTATGTTCTTTCTCTCGAGGCAGTAATCCCAGATCATTTGGGCTACCGTCAACAAGTCCATGGACTTCGTTCCCCCTTTCTTGTTGAGGTATGCCACTGCTGATCAGTTGTCCATCCTTAGATGGATGTGTACATCTGTTCTGCTCTTGGCAAATGTCTGAATGGATAACCATGCAGCCATAAGCTCCAGAACATTGATGTGGTGTTTTCTCTCGGAGAGACTCCACACTCCACCTGTCCGAACTTTCCCATACACTGCTCCCCACCCCAATTTCGAGGCATCTGTAGTTATGACTACATCTGGCCCTGTCGAGAGGAAAGATTTGCCGTTCCAATCGGCGAGATGATGTATCCACCATCTCAGTTCCTGTTTGCATTCTACTGTCAATGTCACTTTCGTCTCGTAGTTTTGTTTCGGTAGGAGAGCTTTCGTTCTCAACATTTGTAAATGTCGATAGCACCGCCATCATTGAGGCAGTAAGTTTTCCTTAATGTCGCTAGCTGTGGTACAGTTGTGTGGGAACAAGTCAACATCATTTCGCACTGTCGAAGAATGCCAGTCACTTTGTCCTGTGGAAGTGACAACGTCATGTCTGTCGAGTTGACAGTGAAACCCAAGAACTCTATTATCTGACATGGCTCTAGGACTGACTTCTTCCAATTCACTACAAAACCTAGTCTGTCTATCATCAATGCATCTTTCTGGGGATTGGCCAAAATCAAGTCCTCTAGATAAATTTGGGCTCGGATTCCTATTCTGCATAAGAAAGATATCACTGGTTTCAACAGCTTTGTGAATACCCTCTGTGCTGAAGCAAGTCCGAAGGGTAGGCATTGAAACTCGTAAAGTTTGTTTTGCCAGCGGAATCTTAGGTATTTCATGTGCTCGTTGCACACTGGGACACAAAAATAGGCATCTTTGAGATCTATTTTTATCATATAGTCCTGTTTGTTTACTAGTTCTGTCAATGTCTCTATTCCTTCCATATCGAAATGTTGGTAAGCAACACAAAAGTTTAGTTTCTTTGCATTGAATACCGGTCTGTGACCCCCAGTTTTCTTTGGGGTCACAAACACTGTGCTCACAAACTGGTTTCTTACTGGAGAAACCCACTGCACTGCCCCTTTCTCTAACATTTTTGTTACTTCTGCAGACATTATGTCCATTTCTGATTTTTGCATCTTTAGTTCTTTTGGTTCTGATTTTTGCTGAGGAATTTGATTGAATTCTATTCTGTACCCCGGAACAATGTTTAGAATGTAATGATCCTTTGTCAACGTTTGCCAATTTTTTATGAAGTGTTTTAATCTCCTCCCTAGTTTGGGATCTGCCTGAATGACCTGAAAGTCTAGGTCCTGTAACTGACTGTGCAGTGTGTTCCCCGTTTGATATTGTGAAACATGCATACCTGCCTCTGGAAAACTCTCTGCCTCTGCCACCACCGTCTCGCTTTCTAGTCGAGTTTGTGAATCGCACCTTCTGGAATGAGTTGGTACTGTAACGGCCCCCACCTCTGTAACCCTGGTAACTTGATGAGGGCCCTCTGTGAAAGGGTCGGCTGTTTCCTCTGTTGAACCCTCTAGTAGAGTTCTTGAAGCCATAGTGGCTCTTGTTTTTGTAGTCTGAAAACTGTCTCTCAATGTCTAATCTCTTCTTTCTGTCCTTGGACAGCTTCAACAATTTCTTGTAAAAACCTTTGCCAAACAAGGCCTTCTTGTCACTGAACTTTTTCTCATTCTTTGAGAGAAATTTCTGGGCTTTCTTCTGACTTTTCATCAGCTTTGTTAGAATGTTCAGTCTTCTATAAAAAGTAGTGGCAACGTTGGCTTGTCCCAACAAACAGTCTTTTCAACCAAATTAAAAAAGTCATTCACATCAATCTCTTCACCACTTTTATCTCTGATTTTATCCACGGTCTGCCACACTTGACCAAGTGGTCCCATCACATTGAGTAGTCATGATTGGATTTTTCCCAACCCTGCTTCGACAGATTTAGCCGCAGTAAATCTTTTTTCTTCCAACATATCTGACCATTCTTCATCAAGATCCAGTGGCACAAATCCTTTTGGGGTCGGACAGCCCTCTAATATGTTCTTGGTGATAACTTCATCTTTAATGTAGTGGTTGAAATGTTCATGTGCATAATCTAGCAGTTCGTTAGACAGTTCTTGTTCAGCCCTATCATCTGTGGGCGTAAACCGCTTATACAGGTGACTGTCAGTACTAATAGTACGATTGTTGGTTTCACAATCTTCTGAATCTGACAATTCTGACGAACTACTGTCACTACTTGAGCTGGATGACGAGCTATCGGTAGGAGAACTACTAGTGCTACTGTCACTTCTTTTGCGATGACGATGGCGCGATTTGGCTTGGTCCCGTCTTGGAATTGTGAAGCCTTTCCAGTCCTTCCTATTTCGTTTCCTGCTTCGATTCTCCAAATCAACATCATTAGGTCTACCATTGTTACCAGCTGCCTCATGGCTCTGGTTATTGTCTGCCTCATGGCTGACAGGCACATGGCGTCCATGCTTTTGGCTAACAGGAATTCCATCCTCGCCATCGGAACCCGATGAATGATCTGATCTCATGACGGTTAAAAAAACGAAGAAAAGAGTTACGCCAAGAAGAAAAGTCACAAAAAGAGCAAGACTGACAAAACACCATCGAAGATTGCTCACGATGAAAGACACAAGACGAGCACGAAAAATTCAAAGTCTTGCGTCTTTTGAAGCCAGAGAATCAAGGACGAGATCTCGTTTTTCTCATGTGACTTTGAAAGGCTTGTGACTTCCGCCGGAAGCCAGGGATAATCACATTTAGACCTTATGTCAGTTTACGAAATAAAATTCAACTCGTCATCATGGGTGTTGATGCTACAGTGATATTACTAGTGGCATGACCGCCTCCCTGGTCTTGTGGATAGAGCATCTCCCTGGAGTAGGTCAGTAGTTCGATACCTGGCTGTGTCATACCCAAAGACATTAAAATATGGTACTTGATATTGCCTTGCCTGCCTCTTGTACATTACTAGAGTTAATAGTCTCTTGAATGAACATATCTTGCAGGAAAAAAAACAGTTGTTAAATTATGTTACTAAAAATATAATAAAAAGGAGCCCAGAGACTCTCTTGATTTCCACTGATTCTGCAGTAATCTAGACTTGCCAAACATTATAGACTTGCATGGGCTGTATTGGATATATTTGTATCAGGGTCTGTATGACAGACTAATACCTCAATTTCGGAAAATATGAACTTTTAGAATATCCCAATTTTGAACCCACACAATAATTTGTTCCTAGTCTGCCTGGAGTTTGGAGGTCAAGGTTGGGAATTGTATACTATTCCTGCTAGGACATAATGTTCGTATGTGCAATATTCTCCAATGGATGAAAATCCTGTTTTTGTTACCCTCATCTCCGTGTGTCTCTTGGCTAGATCAAACATGAAGGGAAACCAAGACTTTGGGGTGAACTCGGGAGTAGCGATTTTAACAAGCTCATGGCGTGTGCTGTTGTCGGAGGTTTCTGGATGTTGCTTTTTATGCATAATGTAAATTTGTAAATACATCACAACATTCCATTTTATCATTTATTCACATAAGTGCTGCTTGAAAGTGATGTGAAATGTGCATCAACGCAAGTTGGAACTGGAGAGGTTTTACTCCAGTGCATATATATGTATGATATAAAACTCAATGTCCATCGCTCACTTTCTGGCCAGAATCTGTCACATCTCAACCTGTCTCTCACTTTACAGCCATAATCAACCATGTCTCAACTTGAAATCAGTGTCGAGCCAGAATCTGTCACATCTCAACCTGTCTCTCACTTTACAGCCATAATCAACCATGTCTCACCTTGAAATCAGTGTCGAGCCAGAATCTGTCACATCTCATCCTGTCTCTCACTTTACAGCCATAATCAACCATGTCTCACCTTGAAATCAGTGTCGAGCCAGAATCTGTCACATCTCATCCTTTCTCTCACTTTACAGCCATAACCAACCATGTCTCACCTTGAAATCAGTGTCGAGCCAGAATCTGTCACATCTCATCCTTTCTCTCACTTTACAGCCATAATCAACCATGTCTCACCTTGAAATCAGTGTCGAGCCAGAATCTGTCACATCTCATCCTGTCTCTCACTTAACAGCCATAATCAACCATGTCTCACCTTGAAATATGTGTCTCGTCAGGATCTGTCACATCTCATCATATCAACAGATTTGTGTCAAGAATCAGATTTATCAGATCTCACCCCTTGTCTCACTTTCTCAGACCAGAATCTATGAGATCTCAGCCTGTCAGTAGATTTCTAGTTCGAGATAATAATTCAGGGGAACAGTTAATGTCTTTGTTTTATTCATTGAGGAAGTATTATCTTTTCACTGGATTCATGAATTTTATTGATATTTTTTTATTATTGGTAATCATGTACATATCGGTATCATGTATACAGTGCATGTATATTGTCTTTACACATTCCATACTTCCTGTTATTATATCACTTTATGACTGCCAAAATATTTTAAAAGTTTTTGAATTGTTATGCGTTGCTACCTCCTGCCAAGTACATTGATGAGCATTTGATTTGTCAAACATACATGTTATATACTGTTGTAGAACCCGTCTTGTCCATGTGTTCTCTGATACACCCTGTCTAGACCAAGGATATGCAGGAGGCAGTCTTTAAATGTTTGTGTAGGTTGGAGTAAAATGAGGGGAAATCATGGCCGGACCTGAAGATGTTTCTCTCATGAAAAGAGGTCTAAGGCACCGTGATCCGCTGTGCAGAGTTGCGTCCCTTGGGCACGCCAGAAACTGATATTGTTGGTTCGAATCGTGGTTTCCGATTATGTTTCTAGGTTTGTCAGCACCATACCCATGCTCGTGGGTTTCACTGAAGTGGTAAACGTCTGAGACCTGCATCACTTCGGGCTTTCCGCCCACATTAAGCTGACACGCCGTGATATAACTGAAATAATATTAAAAGCGGCGTTAAAACCAACTCGCTCACTCACTCACTCACTCACTCACTCACCCCAGCCTCAAAACTACAGGCCCCACAGTTGTCAAGACTACACTCACTCAAGCTAAGGCCACTCATGTGTATTTGTTTGGATTGTATTTTAAGAGTATGTTTAGAAATAATCTTGAGTATGTGTCTTCATTTTACTTCATTTTACTTCATTTTAGTGGGTATAGTGTCAAAGTGGGTACTTTTTGTGAGTATTGTTTTACGCCGCTTTTAGCAATATTGCAGCCTTATGGCAGTAGGGTACGCCAGAAATGTGCTTCACACATTGTACCCACGTGGGGAATCGAACCAGCCGGGTCTTCGGCGTGACGAGAGAACGCTTCAACCACTAGGCTACCCCACCACCCAAGTACTTTTTGTGAAAGCAGAATGTTCATTTTTCCGTTGTGTCCCTTGGGCACATCAGGAACCTATGATCATGGGTTCAAATCCCGGACTGCCCCCGATAATGTTTCTAGGTTTGTCAGCACCATACCTGTGCTCGTGGGTTTCTCAAAAGTGGTAAAAGTCTGGGACCTGAATCACTTCAGGTTTTTCTTCCACATTAAGCTGACATGTGTGATATGACTAGAATACTGTTCAAAATAGGTGTTAAACCCAACTCACTCACTCACTCCATGTTTTTGGTGAATCTTTGAGTTCAAGTCTGGGAGTCCATGAAACAAACTATTCAGGAAGTATGGCCTGAATTACATTCCAGCTCACTTTTTGTTGTTTTCATTAGAGGAAGATTGGGGATATGTAAGCCACTTGAAATGAAATAAATTCATTAAGACGACTGATGTGGTTTCTGTGTTTAGCTCTTCATACACAATCTTCAATCCTTTGATCTAAAATAAGGGATGTATATTGTTCACAAGGGTTTACAAGGAAACCTGATAGTACCAGAATTAGCCTGGTTATCAACAAAATTTTAATGATGATACAAAATATGATATTAATCCTTTTATCTGACCAAGATAATCAGAGATAATCATGTCGTGTCCCCACAACGTCCAAATAATGCAGGGGAAATGAAACACCACGCACTGCCCAAGGAACAGACAATGGATCGTGTCAGCAAAGGGACACAACTCTGCAGTACCCAAGGCCTGTCATACACGTGAAAGGGAGTGAATCATTTATATTTAGTATACTGTCTGATCATAGTGTGTTGGAGCTAACTATACCATGCTGTCTGATCTGTTGTCAGGGGATAATATTATAAGACTTTAAATAACGTAACTCCTTGAGATTTGGGAAGAGACAGATTTCAGTGATATTTCCAAAAACGAACTGTGACATGAACATAATGGCTTTAGTGACCATATACAGATATGTCAAACTTAGTCAGTCACTTTAAGTCACTTCATGATTTACCAAATGTTTTATGAGACGTTATTTTGAGACTTATTTTGGTATGTGAGATATGCATCACCGCGGGCTTTCCCCCCACATTAAGCTGACACGCTGTGATATAACGGGAAAACTCTTCAAAGCGGTGTTAATCCCAACTCATTCATTCTTTAGCTGCGTTCATCGAAATATCAATGATGATCAGAGAAGCCCTTGTTTAACTCCACATTTGCTACTTTCTATATTTAGTTACATAATGTCCTACTTTGTCTATCAGTGCTTTACCTAGCCGTGTGGGCCAAATATGAACTCAGACCCGGGAATAATAATAATAATAATAATAATAATAATTAGGGACAAACTCCAGAATGCCCATATCAAGGAAAAACTTCGGGTAGAGTACAAATGTAGTTAAGTATATGGAGTTCAGAGCTGAACACCCGCAATAAAAGTAAAAGCCATAAATACTTATGCTGTACCCGTTCTTTCATATTCTTTTGGTGTTGTTGATTGGACGAAACAAGTAATTCAGGATATTGACACCCTCACACGAAGAATCATGTCAGACAATAGATCCCACCACCCTCGCTCTTCCCTCAATCGCTTATATTTACCAATCATAATTGGGAGGGCGTGGTTTGATTAACGTTGGGGCTCTTCATGATAGAATTGTTTTGTGCACTTTTGCACACATTTATTTGTCTGATGATCCTCTTGTGAAGCATGTCAAGACTCATGATGAAAACAAGGCATTCCACAGTTTTCTAAAACGAGCCAAGGATGTGGGTCATAATCTCAATGTCAGTGTTGATTTTGTTGATGGTTCTCTACTGCTGGACGGTACAGAAATAAGTGTCAACCAAGCGAATTGCAATATCAAATCGACCCAGCTTCAGTTTTTCAAGGAGAGGCTTTCTGAACGACACCCAGACACCCACGCCCCCACACACATTTTTTTTAAAACCAAAGATGGTTTGTTGTAGTAGTCTCACAAACAAACAAAAAATGGCATTAAAACCGATAAATTTATTGAAACTGTTGATAAACATACTTTCAAAATAACACGAACGTTTAATAATTTAATGACCTGATAACCTCCTGTTCAGATACCTAAGAACAGGCCTATCAAGCAACAACAAAAACTCTAAGATGTAGCCAAAGGTCAGCAGCAATGTATATGGAGTTGGCGCGCTCCAACTACTGTTTCCGTTAAGAAACCAACAAGCACTCGGGCCAAACGGCGACTTTCATCAGTTTCATCGGACATGAATAGACTTTGGCAATCGTGTCGTGTGCAAAATCGATTAGTATTACACACGCTTCTGTCATTATTGACACATCTTACATTTGTCTGATAAAGAGGTTAACGACTTAACTAAAATAGAAAATCTTCAAATCTCAAATGAATATAAACTACATGAAAGAAAAGTGGTTTCACAATGGAGGCATTGTTGCACAATCCTTGTCTTGCAACATGTCCAGTTCGTTTCATACACGGAATATTAAAACAATAACTCGTTCTGTCAGTTTCTGGAGATACATGTGTTCGTTTATGATAACACATAACGAAAGATGTAGCACAAAAGTTGATAAAAACAAAATTGAACAAAATAAAAGATACGTTTGAAATTGATGTCAAAATAACATGACATCAAGCCGCACTTCCTCCCTTCATTAACCATCTTGATTCATCTAAAAACGAAATAATAACAAACTTAACGAAATGAAAATATGGGCTACAAAACATAACTTATAACAATGAATACTAACAGGATAATGCTAGTTTATAATGTACTAGTACAGCTGTTGCTAATATTAGCTGTTAAATGATTACGTAATTATAACATGGACCTTAGATTTAAAGAAATATTCAAATCGGTTTAGGAACTCGTCTATAAGTACCACGTTTTCTATTCAGTTTCATGAGACAGGAAATGCGACAATCTGATTGGTCGTTGATATTGTACAGTGGAACGAATCGCTGGTCAGATCGCCTTCTCTCTATCTGAACCTTTCCATCACTGCCTGTTTTCTCTACGATGACTGGTGACTTGGCTGCCAGTCTCAGTTTAAGCTCCACCCCCAACACCTTGGGGTCAACCGACTCGGGAACTTTGCGGTTCTTCATGGGGAGAGCTTCAATTCTTCTTTTTAAATCCTGTGACAAAAAAATATAGAATAACATGCGCGATTGAAAATATACGCCGGCTCTCCCCTTTGTCACATGTCTTAGTGACGTCAGTCGATATTGTTACGCTTGTTTTACAGAACGTAACCCGTGCAGATCAAGGTTAGAATTGGTCTGCAGCAACCCATGATTGTAAGAAGCGACTCATCGGGCGGGATCGGGTGGTCCGGCTCGCTGAATTGGTTGATGCATATAATCGTTTCCAAATTGGTGCTCATGATTTCAATCACTGGATTGTCTGGTCCAGATTCGATTTTTTTATAGACCGCCACCATACACCTGGAATATTCGGCGTTAAACAACAAACATTCGTAAGGAATGTGGTATACATGAAAATACAGTGTGTTCGATTTCCAACCCCGAACCTCGGAGAACCTGCGTTGACCAAGATATACCCTTTTATTGACCTATGCACATATTAACTCATTTACGTCATACGTCGGTTCACCATCTCCACAGGACCCCTGGAATGTATGGGGTACTCTGGTTTGAAACATCAAAGGGAAGCCATCAATAAAGCTTATTAAGTTAATTATTTAATCTTGTATAAAAGCATTTTAATGGAAACCAGGATTCTGATACGCGTCTCACGGACATTTAACTTTCAATTGTTGATAATAATATTTTAGAATCAATAATGATGCTTTTGCTTCTCTGTTTGATGTTCTGTGCGTTATTTTGAACATTCTTGTCGATTAACATGCATTCAACAGAACAGGTACAACGGCAGCTTTCTTTAGCAATGAAACGCTTGTAATCTCTTTGTGTGTGATAGCATTAAATGTGGTTGTGTTTTTCCTTCTCGCAGCCATGTTGTATTAAGTCTAAGGTTACATTTTTATTTCGGGAACCGCCCATGGTTACCCTTGATAAACACTGGTTAAGACAGGCTGGATGTAATCAACCCTGGTTGCCTGAACACGGTAATATAAGTTGACTCTCAATTGTAGCAATCTAACTAGCTTAGTATCTCACCAAACCGAAACAGTTTAAACATACATATTACAGTATTGTAGATTGTAGAATACACAATTATAGATTGCAGAGCCGCGTCAAAAAAGCGTGCCTGGTAAAGCCGATTATATGAGCATGGAGTGATTGGAATGTGTTGTCTTGCAGACTGAATGATAGTGTTATGCACCCATGGTTGATCTGGTTCAGTCACCTTCACTTACATGTCATCGTGATGTAGCTGACCTGGTAAACATGGGCCACAGTAAACCAGAGTAATAATCACAGGCAGTTAAAAACAGTATACAAAACTTAACCACCCCCGTTGCCATATAAATGCATTGTTCTAAAAGCGGCGTAAAATCGCTGGCGTACATGTGGTATCGCCCAACTGCAAGCAAGCACGGTCAAGGCAAAACGTTTTTTATACTTGGTCAAACCAGGTTGTATTTCTATACCTGCACAATTTTCTCGAGTTTCCTCGCCTCCCTAATAAGTTGCACCTGACGCCGGGGGTTGGGAGTAGGGGAGTCCTCTGGCCACCTCTCACGCTGGAAGGGCGATCTCCTGGCGGTACTGACAAACCTGAAGGCGCCTGTGGCTTGTATTCCAGGTTTCTGTTTCCGTTTCCCTTTCTTGGTCTTTTTGGATTTACTTTTGCCCTTTTTGTATGGTTTTGGTGTCTTTTTGTTTTTTATCATGCTAGCAATGCAAGACTCCCCCTTCTGCGCTGTGCTACTTGTCAGTGGTTATTCTATGACGTCACAAAGTCAGGCATCACAATGGTATGGCGTCATAATACACGTGACGTCATTATCTGTCCCGCGGCCTCGCTTTTTGCCTTTAGTCGTCGCCATCACTCGTGTCTTTTCGTAACCCAACTTAAGGTTACGACACTTATGGTCACAAAGGGGTTTCCCGAGCTGAAACTCACCTGGGGCGCGTTGCCAGCCACGAATCGCTTTGAGAAAGCAAATTCATCGCTTAATCCGGGGTCTGCAACAGTTCGAAGCGCTTGCGCACTCTTCCAAAATTGCGGCACAACTACCGCTTGGTTGCCTTGACGTTTGTTTGATGTTTAACGCCGCACTCAACAATCTTCCAGCTATATGACGGCGGTTTGCCTAGTCGTCTGAGGGGCCGCGGTTCGCTGTGCAGAGTTGCGTCCCTTGGGCACGCCAGAAACCTATGGTTGTGGGTTTAATCCCGATTCGCCCCGATTATGTTTCTAGGTTTGTCAGCGCCATACCCGTGCTCGTGGGTTTCACCAAAGTGGTAAACGTCTGAGACCTGCATCACTTTGGGCTTTCCTCCCACATTAAGCCGACGCGCTGCGATAGAACCGGAATACTGTTAAAAGCGGCGTTAAACCCAACTCACTCACCCACTCACCCTTTATAACATATATCTGCAACTAAACCTACAACAATTTTATGTATGAATAATAATATTTTCCAACTTTGTATGTGGTCAATACACCTATACATTATAGTTATACAAACCCTACTTTATAAAATTCAAAATCAGATTGTTACGTGCATTACGTGGCAAACGTATATATTCACAGGAAAACTATTTGTTTCAAAGTGACAAACTTGTTTCCTTATTTGTGGGGATAATCGAGGTCTGCTGTCAAATATTCGTCATCAATCATTGGTCAAAAAGAACCAACTTTAAGATTACTTCGTACTTTCGTGAAAAGCTAAGACCCAACAGAGCTAATGGACGAGTTTCACATCTATCTTCTTGAGACACAGAAGTCTGCCTTTGTGAAGCCGGTCAAGGCGAAAATCTAAAATAACTCTTTGCTTGAGAAGTCGGTGAAGCACTGCTTCGTGTCAAGAGCAATCTTTATCAGTTTTCTTGCTTACTCTAGCCTCCAGCGACCCCTGAACAATTGGCACATTTCATACATATTCCAGAATGAGTATTCCGCTCGTCACATGGATAGATTTTATAGCACAATGACCACGAGATAGTTTGCCTATTTCCGTCGTTTATATAACATTATTCCGAATTTTATTAATCCCTTATCCGAGTTTATAGCTGTGCATGTAACACTAGAGTACGATACTTTAAAAACTTATAAAGGTGTTGAAACATTTTTACCATGTTCCCTTCAATTTGATGGTTTTAAACATAAATTGGATATTCTGTCGAAGCTGCAGCTTCAGTCATCAGGTCGCCTCTTACAGGGTCTTTGTGAAGGTTGACGATTAAAGTCTTGTAGGTTATCCTCCGGCAGTATTACATCTCTGGAACCACAGCATTGTTTGACAAACAATTTACGTGACATTGTATAGCAGGCGATGAGTACATGCCAGAGAATACATTGCCCGAAAAGGTAATCAAACTTTTTCAAAGTTATAACTTAGTTACAATTAGATGCCTTGGCGCCTCTGAGTTCCCCTGAATTCGGGAGAGGTGAATACACTGACGATGTTATACAAACTTAGGGACAAAAGAAACTCTCAGTTGATTTTAACATATGTCTGATTCTCAGTTGAAAATATCTTAAGGTGCTGATATTATATCCCAAATATGAACTGTACCGGCGCTTAGTTAGCACTCAAAGAATGCTTCTGCATGGTTTTATTTTTATAAATATAATTTGATATAAAACTTTAAAACTTTAAACTTTTTCCGCATAACTGCTGATGGGTAGCTTTGACATCGTATGAAATTTACAACATGTCAAACATGGTAGGGGATCATGTGGTTGCAAATTTATTTCATACCCCAGTCTTCGTTGAAGCAGTCTATTTTACACAAAGCTACCCAGCCACAGAATACTTTTTACAAACCGTTGCAGGAATGAGTTGTTGTTAAATAGACATAATCAAATCTAACACCAGTTCTTTCACTTTTCAGGGGCGGTCGGGTAGCCTAGTGGTTAAAGCGTTCGCTCGTCACGCTGAAGACCCGGGTTCGATTCCCGACATGGGTTCAATGTGTGAAGCCCATTTCTGGTGTCCCCCGCCGTGATGTTGCTGGAATATTGCTAAAAGTGGCGTAAAACCATACTCACTCACTCTTTCACTTTTCATTTACATAAAAAAACAGACATGGCGTACTTGCCCTTAGTTTCCATCATCCGGGTCACTTCTGCATCCTGAAATTTAAAGTTTTAGGTTTAAGAAATTCGCAGGTGTATTTTTTTTATAACAAATTATAGAAAGCACGACTCGTTGGGTTTAAGACCAGTAAAGCCCGACCCTCTACACCATTTGTGTTTGAATAACCATTTAGTCAACATTACACGTGATACTTTATCCTCCGATTCAAAGGAGATACAGTGACGTTATTCGTTCTATATGGAAACACGGCTTATTGATTCTACGACCAGTGTGGCCCTGTTCGATCTACGGCTGTATTATAAGACCAGCTGTTTGTGATTACGACAGTAACCCAGGGACACATCTACTGCAGCCTCGGCTATGCAACACAGCATAGCTCTGGAAGTTATACTAACTATGAGACATATTTACATTTAAGTTACGCTGCTCAACGTAACAGTATGCTTTGTTTGTTTGTTGTTTAACGCCGCGCCGCAATATTCCAGCTATATGACGACAGTCTGTAAATAATCCAGTCTGGACCAGACAATCGAGTGATTGACATCATGAACATCGATCCACGCAATTGGGATAGCATGACATGCATCAACTAAGTCAGAGAGCCTGACCATCCGATCCCGTTGGTCGCTTCTACGACAAGCATAGTCGCCTTTTAAGGCAAGCATAGGTTGCTGAAGAGCTATTTTGCCCCGAATTACAGTATGCATTCTCATAGGACACATACGTATAACTAACACAAGGATGGTACATCTACGTATTGTGTAATTTGGTTAACGCTGCTTTAAACAGTATTTCAGTTATATCACGACGTTTCCGCTTCATACAGTTGATACAATTCTCAGACGTTACCATTTCCATGAAAGCCACATTAACATTAAAGACAATAAGAGTATGGGTAGAAAATGTACGAAATGTCCTCTCAAAGAACACGAAACGCAGCGTTATCTACATAGAAAATGAAGCGATCTTGCGTTATCGAAAACTGTTTAAATCAAACTCACTCACTCACTCACTCACTCACTCACTCACTCACTCACTCATGTGAAAGGAGAAAGCTACATTAACGTAATCAATCCTCTGTGGCACGAGGAAATTTCCGTTGGACAGTTTGATTCGATTGCATCTGGCGAATGTCGTTAACAATTGTAATTTAATTCTAAACTGATTTGTTTTATTGTATGAGGTCATGTGAGACATGTGCTACAATCTATCCCAATAAGGCTGAGGCAGACCCTAGGCTGCCATAATGAGTTATTGTTATCTTGATGCCACCGTGAGCCAGTAAGTAATCTGTCTCTGAAACCAGAGTGTATGGTGGGACTGCACTCAGGGAGATAGGGACTAGTGGGTCCTTACATTGGAAATGCCATGTTTCTAATTGTTTGGCAGCTGTACAAGTTTAGAAATGTTGTGTCGTGAGAGTATTTCATATCGACTTCAACTGTGCGTCAGTATTCACAACACCAACAATAATAATAATATACTGAACCAAATTAAAAACTTCACAATCCTAAAATTTTAACATTTTGACCAGTTATCATTGTGGGCCCTTATTGTGTATTTAAACAGTAATGGCCATGTATTGTCTTCAGATAACACGCGTTTTTGTGCAGATGAATCGATCAAAATCATGTGCACAGCACTATAGTGGCAAAAGTGGTTTTTCACGTGCAACTGATCACGTGGCCATAATACCGCACGTGTTTTCAGCCAAACTTGTTAGCAGTCATTGACAAAAAATGAAAAACACAAGAAAACTAAAGTCTTTACGGCCATTTGACATGCCACGCCTTTCAAATGTGCATCGTGAACGTGCCATCGGCATGTTGCAGACGGGAACGTCCGTAGCTGGAGTCGCGAGGACGATGGGTTGTAGTCGACGGACTGTTTATGATTCACAGACGCATCTACAGCAAACGGGTACCACCGCTGATCGCCCTCGGCCTTGGTCGACCACGTGTGACGTCACATGCAGAGGACCGTCAGATTGTCTTACGGCACCTCCGTAACCGATTTTTGACGGCTACATCAACCAGAAATGCACTGTTTAGGGGTAGACTGAGTGCGCAAACTGTTCGAAACCGTCTGAGAACTGCTCACCTTCAAGCACGACGGCCATACTGCGGGCCGATTCTGACTCAATTACACAGACGTCAACGTCAATTGTGGGCACAGCGACACTTACGATGGACTCAGAGGAATTGGAATCAAGTCGTCTTTAGTGATGAATCCCGATTTAATCTTCGATTTGCTGATGGTAGGGCGAGGGTGTGGAGGCGCCGTCATGAACGTTACGCCCAGTGTTGTGTACAGGAAGTTGACAGATTTCGAGGCGGAAGTGTCATGGTGTGGGGTGCTTTCTGTGGCAATGCACGTTCCAGGCTTCTTGTCATCCGTGGCAACCTCAACGCTGCTGCTTACCGCGACCAGGTACTGGCACCAGAACTTCTGCCTTTTATAGCAGCACATGGACCCGGTTTGATCTTCCAACACAACAATGCCAGACCCCACACAGCAAATTTGACAAGGAATTTCCTATAGAATGCGGGAGTCAACGTCATGGACTGGCCATCAAGGCCTCTCGACCTCAATCCCATCGAACACGCCTGGGATGCTCTTGGCAGAAGCCTGCGCACTCTCCAGAACCTACCACAGAATTTGTAAG